AATGGAAATGAAAAATCAAATAAGCAATAACACAATTATAACAGGAGACTGAACACACCATTAACACAAAGAGACAGATCAACGAGACAGAAAATCAGCAAAGAAATAACAGAAGTGAATCACACATGTGAATAAATACACTTGATAAATGTACACAAAGTGTTCCACCCAACATCAGAATATACATTCTTCTCAGCAGTACATGGACATTCTCTAAAATAGACCATGTACTAGCCCACAGAATATACTTAAGTAAATGCAAAAGAATTAAAATTACCCCATGCATGTTACCAGATCATAGCACCATGAAACTAGAAATTAATGATAAAAGAAACTGCAAAAACCCCACAAACACATAGAAATTGAATAATACACTCCTGAGCAATCAGTGTGTCACAGAGGAAATTAAAGAAGAAATTAAACATTATCTAGAAGCAAATGAAAATATAACTTACTGGAATCTGTGAGATGCAATGAAAGCAGTCCTCAGAGGAAAACTTATTGCAGTGAATTCCCATATCAGGAAAACAGAACAAACACAAATAAACACCTTGATGCTATACCTCAAACATCTAGAAAAAGAAGAGCAAGTCAAGCCCAAAGCCAAAAGAAGGGAAAAAATTATACAGATCAGAGTAAAAACTAATGCAATAGAAACTAAAGAAACAATACAAAGAGTCAATGAATCAAAGAGTTGGTTCTTTGATAGAATAAATAAAATTGATAAGCTCCTAGCCAACCTTATTTTAAAAAGGAGAGAAAAACTGAAATTCATGCAATAAGGAATGAAAAGGGTGAAATAACTACAGACTTTGTGGAAGTACAGAAGACGATAACACCTATTTCAAAAACTCTACTCTCATAGGTTTGATAACAGAGAAGAAAGGGACAGATTTCTAGAAACATGAATTACCAAAGCTGGGCCTAGAAGATGTAAAACTGTTGAATAACCCAATTTCAATTAATGAAATAAAAAATGCAATTAAATCCTTACCAACAAAGAAGAGCCCAGGCCCAGATGGAGTCACTGAGAAATTCTACAAGAAATTCAAAGAAGACTTAATGCCAACACTCCTCAAACTCTTCAGTGAAATCGAAAGGGAAGCAAATAATACTCTAGTAACAAAACCTGAGAAAGACCCAAATAAAAGAGAACTACAGGCCAATCTCCCTAATGAACATAGATGTAAAACTTCTCAATAAAATATTGGCAAACAGAATACAGCAAATCATCAAGGAGATTATACACTACAACCAAGTGGGATTCATCCCAGGAATGCAGGGATGGTTCATAATACATACATAGCACATACATAAATCAATAAATGTAATCCACCATATCAACAGAGCCAAAAATAAGAACATGATCACTTCTATAGATGCAGAAAAAGCTTTTGATGAGGTCCAACACTTACTCCTGGTAAGAACCTTACAGAAAATTAGAATAGATGGTCTTTACCTCAGTATGATAAAAGCCATCCATGACAAATCAATAGCCAGCATGCCTTCACCCTAAAATCAGGCAGAAAACAAAGATGTTCATTATCACCATTACTGTTCAATATAGTGCTGGAAATACCAGCCAGAGGAATTAAATGAGAGAGAAATAAAATGAGTAAGGATAGGAAAAGAGGAAGTTAAATTATCATTATTTGCAGATGACATGATATTCTACATAGAAAACCTCCAAAACTCCAATGAAAGACTCCAAGGTATAATAAATTCAGTAATGTAGTTAGATACAAAGTCAACACTCAAAAATAAATAGCATCCCTACACACTGAGCTAAATCCCCAGCCTCTAGCATCCTTATACATTAACAACAAAATCACTGAGAAATAAGAAATGCCACACCCTTCACAATAGCATCCCCCAAAAATGAAATACTTAGGAATCAAGTAGAAGAAGTAAAAGATCTATTCAGGGAAAATTATCATACCCTGAAAAAAAGAAAACAAAGAGGACCTCAGAAAATGGAAAGACATCCATCCCTTGTTCATGGATAGGAAGAATAAATATTGTGAAAATGGCCATTCTCACAAAACTGTTATATAGATTCAATGCAATCCCAATGAAAATACCATCAATATACCTCATAGATCCAGAGAAATCATCCTAAAATTCACCTGGAACCAGAAGAGACTAAGAATAGCAAAGACAAGTCTAAGCAGCAAAGGCAAGGCAGGAGGCAATCACAATCCTGATGAAGTTATACTACAAAGCAACTGTAATAAAATCAATATGGTACTGGAATAAAAACAGATATGAAGATCAATGGAATAGATTAGAAGATACAACTACAAACATCTTTGACAAAGGGGCCAAACACATTCACTGGAAGAAAGATAGTCCTTTAATAAATGGTGCTGGAAAAATTGGCTCTCCAGATGCCAAAAACTAAAACTAAAAAGACCAATGCCTATCACCGTGTACTAAAGTCTAAGTGGATCATAGATCTAAATATTAAAACAGAAACACTAAATCTGTTGGAGGACAAAGTAGGTAGAAATCTTGAAGACATAGGAGTAGGTAGAGAAGTCATAAACAAGAATCAAACTGCATAGGAAATACTTCACAGAATAAATAACTGGGATCATGTCTTATTAAAGACTTTTTGCATGTCTAAAGAAATCTCCAGCATAGGGAATAGAAAATCCACAAATTGGGAAAAAATCTTAGTGAACTGTCCCTCAAAGGACTTCCGTCTAGAATATATAAAAAATTAAAAAATCAAACCCCCGAAATTCAAATTCATTTGGGATCTGAGATGAACTCACATTTCTCAGATGAAGAAATACAAATGGCAAATAAATACATGAAAAAAAGTCCAGCATCATTAGTTATTACAGAAATGCAAATTAAAACCACACTGAGGTTCCATCTCACTCCAGAAAGAATGGCCAGGATAAAGAAAACTACCAATAACAAATGCTGCAGAGGCTGTAGGGGAAAAAAAGGAACTCTTTTGCACTGTTGGTGGGAGTGTAGACTGGTGCAACCATTGTGGAGGTCAGTCTGGAGATTCCTCAAAAAGCTGGGAATGGAAGTCCCATTTGACCCAGCTATTCCACTTCTGGGCATATTCCCAGAACTCAAAACATCATGCCACAGTGATATATGTTTATTAGCAGCACAATTTGTAATAGCCAGATCTGAAAACCTAAGTGCCCATCAACTGAGGAATGGATAAAAATAGATGTGGTATTTTTGTACAATGGAGTACTACTCATCTATAAAGAATGATCACACTGAGATATTTATAAATGGATTTCATAAGTGAAATAAATCAAACTCACATGTGTAAATACCGTATAGTCTCCCTAGTATAAGAAAGTGTGTGTAAGGTTTTATGGTAATCATGGTTTCCCATTATATTGCTTTGAAGTCTTCATGTTTTCATTCATTGGTTGGATTGGTTTTATTGTTTTGATTTTATTATCTGTGTTGGTATGAACAGCTATTCTGAAGAAAACGTTATGGCAGCCATTGCTGATTTACTATCATCTTGCTTTGAAGTCCTACCATGCTTTTGTTCTTCTGTTTTGATTGGGTCTATCCTGTTGGGTCTTATTTGATTATGTGTGATGGTATAAACAAATCTTTTAAGGAAAATGAGTTATTATAGTAGCCATTGTTCATTTCCTGTTATTTGGTTTTGAAGTCCTGTAATGCTTTCATTCTCTTGAATGGTTTTATACTGTATTGTTATGTTTGATATTATTGTGTGTGAAGGTATGCTGAACTGTTTCAAAGAGACATTATGGTAGGTACTGTTGACATTCGGTTGTCTTGTAAGTGCTATGTTGCTTGCATTGTTCTGTTCTGATTTGAATTTTATTCTTTGGGAAAAAAAAACCTTTTGAAATACTAAAATAAATACATGAGAACTACTTGAGTACAATCTAGCTATGGAATCACCTAAACAGATGAAGAGGCCAGAAGGCCTCTTTTTCTAATACCAGGATGCTACTTGTCTAATTCACACAACTGTGTTCATGCCATGCCCACTGCAAACACCAGTAATGCCTGCTTTTCAATTAGCAATAATCAGATCTCATTGGCTATGATATTGCCACCTCACAAAGCTAAGGCTGCTTTTGGCAGGCAGGCTTTCAATCCTCTCTAGGAAGTTAGCAGTGTAGTGTAATGGTGGTAAGGATCCTCATGTTTGTTTCTGAAACATTTATCATATCAAGAGCCCTGTTTCAGTATATGAATCACTCATTAATTTTAGACTTATTTCTAGCTGCTCCATGTAAAACATGCCTTTTTCCCTTTGGGCCCTAAGGTTTGGTTTAATCTCTCCCCTGGTGAACAAAGTATGATTTATCCCAATATTACAAGGCCTGTGGCCTGCAATAAATTTTAATTATATAGTCTTAGTTCTAATGTACTCATCTGTTGGTATGGCCAGACTAGATAGTCTAAGGGAACTGAAAGACAAGAATCAGCTTGTGAGCAAGGCCTTACATGGTCTTATTAAACAATAAATCCCGTGTTTACCATGATATCAAGTACCTAGTTTGAAGTTCAGCAAGTATTTGTTGAATGTCACACATGGCTGACAAAATAGGAAGCATCTTAAACTTATGCAGAATAAAGACATGGAAGTCCACTATCTCAAATTAATCCAGGAGACTTTCAACCCACACCTCTATCTTGTCAGGGTGGTACAATAGGTGATCCTTAGCTCTTCTGGGGTACAACATAGCTAAGTCACCAAATATTATAAAGCTTAAATTATTTTATATTCAAATTTCAGGGCCAAAGGATACAGCATTGGACTTTGAAGAAACAAACTATATTTCATGATTTTTTATGTTACTTAACTTTTCCCCTACTTTTCCTTAATAAAGAGGACAATTCTGTGACTCTGTAGTTGTAATTTGCATTTCCATTCTGGTAGGAATGGAGCAGACAGCATGAACAAACTTTCTAGTGCTGCAGCTGCAAGAAAAGGAAATCAGCAAAATATCAGAGGTACACAAAGGAAAACTGGCTGAGAAGTGAAAGGACTTTATTGGGCAAAGCAGCATAATCTTTTATCTAAATGAAAACCATTACAGTTTTTAAACAACTTTTACATATGGAAAAATTCCATTTTACAGAATAGCTGATACATATTACCAGTAAAAGCAAAACAACAATAACAACAAAAACATGCCTATCTTTTAAGATCTGCTCCAAGTTAGTGGCAGCATTTTAGATCGTCAAGTCTGATTTAAATCATGGAAAATTTTCTAAACAGAAACTTGGGGCTGGCAGGAAACTTCCCAGCTGGCCCGTAATTCTTGCATATATGAGTTTACAAGAATTTAAGATTATGTGCTTTAAGACAGGTATACTACTGTATTTATGCTTTAGAACCCAGGGTATTCTACCACTGAGAAACATCTCTACGCCACACCTTCATTTCTGGCCCCCTTAATCTTTGTATTTGAGACAAGATCTCACTAAATTGTCCAGGCTGGGCTCAAACATGTGACCCTTCAGTCCCAGCCTCCCCAGAAGCTGAGATTACAGGTGTGTACCATCACATCCAGGGAGAAAACAGTGAATTCTTTCTACAGTAAAAATCTAACTGGCTACCAATTTGGAAAGGAATAGATGAAAAAGCAAAAAGACAAAGTCCTTTCCTAGGGAAGTGGTTGACAGATCAAGGACATATTCTAGGCCCAAAAGCCCAAAAGCCCAAAACCAAAACAAACAACCTAATCCAATCAAGGATAGAGAAAAGCAGCTGATGACCTCAGCACTGACAGGAAAAGAGCAGTGGTGAATAGGGGAAAAAGCAAAGAGCACTTGTATCATGGACGGTGCTGACAAGGAGTGCAGGGAATATCCTACTAGAAAATAAACATACCTAAAATAATAAAACTTGTATATCCACCAACTTATCCAGTATTTAACATGGAATCATATTTTTTCAATATTTCAAGTAACAAAACATAGGACTAGAGGTGTAACTCAGTGGTAGAGTGCTTGCCTGGCATGTATAAGGTAATACTTTTCATTCCTCCAGGGCAAAAATGACAAGTTATACATACAGCGGAAAGCTTCTATCTCCTCCTTGCAGGTATGCCTGTGAATTTGATATAAATCTTTTATATCAAATCTATTTTTCTGGTGGGAAGAATTTATGGAGGAAAGAGCCCCAATCAAACTAAAAGAAGTGACCAAAAATGGAGGTGTAAAAATATCATTAAAGAAAAAGATGAAGATTCAAAAAAACTCAAACAAAAACTAAACAAGATGTAGTACTTTTTCTCTTAAGTCTAGCCTTTGTTGTTTCCTTCCTCATCAGTGTTTACTTCCAAAAGGCATTGTTTCTGAAAGAGAAAAATCAACCATCATTATGCCATATATAAAAATCTGTGGTCTTAATTTCTAGTTTAAGCACGAATGCACAAAGTAATCACTTTCACCTGAAATTACATTCACTTCAAATCTCTAAGTGCTGCATGATAATTAAAGCTGTTTATACTACTCTTCACAACTATAAAATACAGTTGTCTGTACTCTCACTCAGATAAAACTATTTGATATTAACTTGCATGTTAAAGTAAAGTAGCTACTTATCACTTTTGAGCAATAAATTCCAAATGGTGTATGTTCTTGTCACCAGAGCACTCCTATTTGGGTGATTTACAAATAAATTATCAACAAAACAAGTTCCTCCAAACAAGATGCCATACTTAGATTTCAAAACATTTTATCTGCAAGAAGAATGATTTAATGATTTGGGGGAAAATTAAATGGTACTTTCACCTCAATGAAAAAATATGCAGCCAGACACGGTAGCACACATCTGTTAGCACAGCACTCTGAGGCTGAGGTAGGAGAATTGTAAGTTTGAGTTCCAGCCTGAGCTACCCTAGTGACTTAGTGAAATCTTAGCTTTAAAATAAAGAGATAAAATAAATTAAAATGAATAAAATAAAAATAAATTTTGGAAATTTAAAATATTAAAATAAAAATTTTAAATAAAACTAAATTTAAAAATATCAATAAAAATAAAATGGACTAGAGATGTAACTCAGTGCCAAGGACCTGGGTTCAATCCTCATTACCACACATAAAAATGTTTATGCAACCATGTAGATGACCTTTTCCAATATAACCCCTCTAATTTCATGTCCTATACAACTGACCTCATCTAAAAAGATACTGTAGCACAATACATAGGCAGCAACCTCAGGCAGTAGAAAGAACTCAGCTTCGAGTCTTAAAATCTAGTTTGCAGTCTGTGTATGTGATGTGGACAACTGTGAACCTCAGCTTCCTCATCTAGAAGGTCTTCCTTCTTTTTAAGTGTGTGGTGACGCCTGTGTATGTCACTTGGTATAACACTGCTTTGTACCTAAAATACAATCTAATACTGTATTAAAATGTAGACAAAATATGTATATATTCCTACAGCAGAGGGAAAGCCAGGTTATCCTTTAAATCAAGGTTTTTTAGAGCTACTAAGCTGTCTCCAGCTATTATCTCTATTAATAGAAAATAGGTTTCATCTTAAATTATGTGTAAGCACTCTCTACATTCCTACAGAAAAGGTGATTGCACACATAAAACAATGAAAGCACATACAAGTTAACCAACTTGGCTAAACATGATGCATGATTGATGTGAGGCCTAAAATTCTAGATGTTCATGTCATTGCATGTTAATCTATGAGATTAAAAACAGCATTAAGCTTAAAAATTTAAACTCAAGCACACAAGACACCAGTCAGCACTAAAACTGTATATTAGAAAGGATCTAAAATTGTAATTGCAACCCTTAAATCAATATTTACTAGAAATAGCACAAATTTGTCTAAGAAATCATGAGAAAATTCTTGATCCTGCATTAATGACACTTTGCTTAGAACTAAACTATACTTTCTGAAATGCAAACATAATAGAAAATGTTTTATCATCACTGGTTTCTATTTTAGATTTACCTTGCCAATAAGAATATAATAAAGAACAATCTGGCCTTTTGAGCTCTCCCCCAACTACCTAATGTAAACTGCACGTGGGCCAACAAAATCACACACCTGAAATAAAGCTCCTTTGCTTTTGGCTGAAAGGATATCAAATTAAAATTATATGATAATGACCATTTTTATAAGAAGTTCTAATTGTATATTGTTCACAGAGTAACACAGAGTGAGGGGCAAAGGATACAGGGGCATTGAAAAAGCAGAGTAACTACTGGAATACCAAATACATTCTTCAAATGCTCATTACCACAGCCTAAAGAAGGGGTAATGTTCCATTTTGAAATGAAATCTGCTATCAATGCACCATTTTCTATTTCATTGTCTTCAGTTTCTCTTCACAAAAAAAAAAAAAAATGCAAAACTTATTTGTAGTGATACAAGTAAGTGAGATCTGAATTTAAATCTGGATACAAGGAATCCGAGGCTAAGATTCACCTCCCAATAATTTTTATAAATCCAAATAACAATAATATTTAGCATTCTCAAAATGAAACAATAACGAAAGGCCCTAGCAACTTCAACAACCTTGGGTTCAAGTTCATTAGGGTTATCACACGCAAACTTCCACGTCAAAGCTTGGAAGGCAGCATTAACCACCAAATTCAGATCATGACATCAGAAAATAAAGCAGGCTCAACTCTATCAGCTCTATCCTGACACAGCCTGGAGACAGTCCACTGGAAAGTGGAAAAAACACCAAACTTGACTTACTTAACTATTTAGCAGTTTTTTCATTTCAATAAATTTGTTTTCATTGGTTGGACTGTTCAAGAGGAAGAACAGAATCTGTTCATGTTTTTTAACCTATGGGTGAAAAAAAATAGTATAATTCAGTTTCTGAAAGAGTTAGAAGAAGAATTCTACTTAAAGGAAAATTACCCACTTGTTCCTGTAACTCTGTGCAGCAGCAATTCATCCTATGCATCTTTTCTAAAAGCAAATGGAAAAAAATCATATGTACAGAAGAAACATATGTACAATGTATGTCTCTTCTGTCCAAAGAAATCTGGACCTGAACAAATATGTGTGCATCTGCCTCTTGCCTGGGTGCACCTACACACAACATGATCCACTCATTTGGACTTCATCTACCACAGTGATCTGAATTTTTACAAATTAATACTCACACTCCAAGGGTTAGGTTTTCTATTAAGTATGGGACTTCTTTTTGGTGAGAACAGGTCTGCCAAATACCTATCTCATGACATATCGGAAAAATCCAGTCTAATAAAGAAAGACGTGTTCTCCTTTTATCAGGATCAAAAGTGAGCTGGGAGCAAGGTGCAGGCAGAATGCCTGACATTTCTGAAGCTCATCACAATGCTGCTGTATCTGAGCTAGAGACCTTGAGTGGAAGACTTTACATCAAAGTGGCTCCTCTTGGGTGGCAAGCAGCATTAGAGCCCTACCATGGAGGCAGGGGGGGGAAGGAGGGGACAATGGTCACACGGAGAGGAAGGATCCAGTTAATTAAAACTATTATCTTTGCTATTTGTTTACCTACATCTGCTATTAATCATTTGGAAAAATACCTTTATGTACAGCATTTTGAGTTTTAGATGTGATGCTCTTTGCCAGATTACAGTTCACCAGCTTATCAGCTACACTGACAGTACCATGCTCACAACACTTCCCAACTGATACTGTGTGAACGTTCTTAATAATTTTTCTCACAGAAAGCATTACATTTTGATTCAACATGAAATTTTTTAGTAGCTCTATTATTAACTGAGAACAACTTCCATTCAATTCCACCAGTCCTAGAAAAAATAATTGAAGACTTTGGTTAGTTTTCAAATTTCTTTAAAATAGACATATTTAGATAACTTCTCTAAAGTTAATAAGCAAAGGTTTACTGACTAGCTAGGTTTTGGTACGCTTTGATGTACTACCGTTGTTACACTGCAAAATCAAATTTATACACGAAATATTTATTGTTGATCTATATGGTGCTCAGCACTAATCTAGGTTTAGAGGGCACAAAATAGGTAAAATATCGGACACTCAGTGATCTAATGGGGAAGCAAACAATAATCCTCTGACAGAGGATCAAAGCAGATTATGAGAATTGGTATGATATAAGCTTGGAGGCTCACTGAGTACAGAGAGCAGGAGTAATCATAAAAAGTTACTGTAAGCGTTTTCATTTACTCACATTCCAGAGTTGGAATGTGGTAAACATCACAAGGAATCAAAAAATGGTGTCATTTAAATGCCACTAGTCCCTAAAGAAATCTATGAACAAGAAGCAAGACTCCAGGTGAAAGGTCGGACCACCTTGGTTCATACCTGTCCTGCCACTTACTACTGCACCTCAGCATTAGAAAAAAGGGAACAATTTCTGAACCTTAGTGCTCTGAAAATAATCTGCAAAACAAAGACAGACTTAACTGATTATAGCTTTTGTGAGTTAAAGAACAAAGGATATAAAATTTCTCTGAAAACTCTAATATTTAGATATCTGAGCAGGTACTAGAAATACACATTTGATTAGACTCAGTGCTTTGAAACAAAAGGAAGAAAATCCCACATCCAAATTGGAAAGCGACTCAATTGTCTACCTTCAAATGAACATTTGATAATTTGGAAAGGGAGTTTCAGGTGGTTTGCAGTAATTGGTTGCACTCTGGAAAGAGGCAGGGTTTCAATGTTTCCGTAGTCTGCATATAGCACTTTCACATCAGAACCTGAGGTCTCCAGAACAACTGCACGATACCAAAAATCGTCACCTGAAAACAGAATGGAATCTTGGCTAAGAATTCATTGTTAATGACTCTATACCTTAAGATGGTTACTCAAAAGTTACATTTATATCACTTAAATTCATGCCAAAAATTTTAACCATCTAGATTTACCTCTGTTTCTTTAAAATCCTACTAAAAAGATAGTAAAAAGAGTTCACACACACACACACACACACACACACGGACAACGACCAAGAGAAAAGCCCATGTGATTTTGGAAAGCTGAAAAACACATGCATGAATGGAAATAATTTAGTACAGCCAAAGCAATTCAACCAAAGCTAGCAGTGAAGAGGACAAGTAGCATCACAGTTCCTATCTCAAACTCCAGCCCCCAAGGCTCAGTAATTGGTGCACTTCTTTCCTCTCTCCAGGCAACCGTTTCTTCTCCAGGCAGATTGGTCTAGGAAGGGTGAGGCCAAGCAGAAGTGAAAGGTTTATCCAGAACACCACCAGGCAATCTGTGCACTGCAGGCAGGAGCAACCATCCCAGATGAGAGCACTGCAGAAGGTTCATGCTGCAGTGCCCGGTGAGACCGCACAGCCAGGACACTCTGTAGGAAGGGCACCAGTGGACAGACCCTGATGCACATAAAGATACCTCCAATAACTTTTCAATACCCCATCTTATACAGGGGAGCAGCAAGGAATCACCAGATATTTGAGAAAAGCCTCTAATGTGCCAGAGGAGACTAAAACAAAGAGGACTTGGGGAAACAGAGATAAAGGAATAAAAAGACAATGAAAATTTTAAAAGATCATAGTGAGTACTCTTGGAGAATATTCCATTCTTAAAACAAGAACAGGATAGTATTGGAACACATATACATATATACTCCCTAAAAAGAAAAAAAAAGCTACTGTAAAAATGCAGTATTGGAAATGAAAACTTCAGAGAAAATTTGGAAGATAAAACTGAAGAATTCTCTTGACAAAGAAAAAAATTTTAAATTAAGTGAAATTTAGTAGGATGGAGATTTAGGAGATTTAGAGTTCCTAAAACAGAAAACAAAAGAAATAAAATTCTGGAAAATTACAGACTTAAGGACCCCTCACTTAGTGCTCAGCACAACGGTAAAAAGAAAGTCACCATACTGAGTCACATTATAAACTTCAAGACATGGAGTGAAGAGGACGGTAAAGGCTTCAGAAAGGACAGGACACATGCTCAAAATTGGAGAATCTGGAATGATGTCTATATTTTTCTGACCAGAAACACCAACAGCTAAAACACAACAAAAACAATACCTTCAAAATTTTAAGGGGAAAATGACTTTCAACCTAGAATTCTACTTCTACAAAGTCTAGCAATAACTATGGGGTAGAATAAAGGTTTTGTTTTTTTTTTTAAACACAGGCACTTTTTCTCAATTTCTGGAGAATGATCAAATAATAAAGAAAATGAAAAAAAAAGAACATGAGATGAGGGCAAGAAGAATCTGACTGATTAGGTGGAGAAAGAAATTCAGTCAACAGAGCAGAACAGTGTTGAAACAATCTTCAGTGTAACAGTGAAGAATGAGAATCCTACGTCGAGGGGACAGTCTGGAGAAGAGAAGAGCAGAAGGCTGAAGATGCCTCCAGTCTGAGTAAATACACAAAAAATTCTTTGAAGGCATTATGCTGACATGGAGAACTGGAGGTAGTGAAATAATACAGAACACTAAAACGAAAGGGTCAAAAAGAAATTATTAACAGTATTCTACCTGGCTCAGCTCTGAGTGGTGTTCACGCAGGCTCTTAAAGCCCAGTACACACCTAACTGAAAACCGCTATTTCCATTGGGAAGAAAATGAGAGGAAGTACAGGTCGCTGTCACAGATAAGAACAATAAAACTAGGGAGTGACATGGGCGAGGGCTGAGGAGGTGGTGGTGGAGGTTGTTCCCATCTTGTATGGCTCCTTGCTCAATCCCAGAAGAGTAATTTGGCAGCTGCTCAAGTACCTGTGTGGGAGCTTTGGGATACAGGATGGTGGTTTTAAAACCCCAGGAGCCCAAGACTGTGGAGGAAGGCAGACCTGAAACTCAGTGTCACAACTCCCTTAATTCAGTGCTGACAAAGCAGTGCTGTCTCCCTGTGCCACCAACTCCAGTCTTGCTTGGCTGCCATCTTGCCACCAGCTCCATCTGTCAGGGGCTGGCAGGAGCTATGCTCAACCATGCCCTTAAGAGGCTCGCCAATTGTACCCAACTATAACACAAAGCGTGTGACCTGGAGACAGCCTCAATTTACCTCAGTCTCAAAAACAAACTGGAGTATTACAGCAAGCCTTATTTACATTAGAAAGTGTGTTAACATAAGATATTAAACAGGAGAATGGTTAAAGTATGGCCTAACCAATGAGTATGACCCCCAAGGCAGTTTTTGTTCCTTTTTTCTTCCCTCCCTCTGTCTCTTCCTTTGGTGTTGGGCATTGAACTCAAGAACTTTGCGTTGAGCTATATCCTTAGCCCTTTTTAATTTATTTATTTAGAGAAGGTTCTTGCTAAGTCACTAAATTGCCCAAGACTCAGACACTGCTACCTCAGCTTTCCAGTGTGTGGGATTACAGGCAGATGCCACCACACCTGGCTAATGTCCCAGTCCTTGAAGGTTTTTGTTTTTTGGGCAGTGGTGCAAAATGAACCCAGGACATCAATCATGCTAGACAAACGCCCTACTACAGAGCTCCACTTCCAGTCTGCAACATTTCATTTTCTTCTTTCAAGATAGTCACATTCACAGCTCTGTAAATATGGCGGGAATGTACATCATTTAATGTTACTGATCTACCATAATATAATATGGCTATCTAGAGCTGGTTATCTGGAAGTACTGATAGAGTTGTATAATTGACTGATGCCCCTATCCAAAAACAATGCAAACAGAAAAGCTCAATGACCCTAAAATATGCATTAAACCCACAACTTTGCTTTTCTCCTCTACCTAATCAAATGAAATATGCATCTAAAATAAAAATCTATGTTATGTCATGTAAAAGAGAATGGATGAAGTATTTTCCCTTGAAAACTATGCATCCAAAAAGCTTACTTGTGTATTTAGCACAGCATGCATCTCCAATTCGTGGTCTGTAAGATGGTTGACTTTTCTGAACACTGCAATATTCTAACAATTCAGCTGTCAATATAGACAATTTTTCTTGATTTTCTAAAATAGACAGATGTAACCTTTTATGAAAAAAATTTCCAAGGCTATTAATAGTATACAAAATATTGTCAAGTCAAATCATTCAAAAGCCCTTTGTATATTAAAATATACGCTGTATTTTAAAAATAAATATTCCCACTATTTGGCTGCTTCTTGCAGAAAGGATGAAAAACCTAGAGGGGCATGAAGAAATCTTCTGGTGGGCCAATTTCTTAATCAATGTGATTAAGTGTGTTCATTCTATGAAATCTTATTTTCTATGTGATTATTTGGCATACTTTTCAGTGATTTGTACCTAATTATCCTAATGTTACTTCCACTTCAACAGACCTTAAGTTATTATACTGATAACCCTGAACACTACTGTTTTTTACTATATAGATTAAATAGGATTTTTTGGTAATACTGGAGATAAGTTTAAGAGCAGTTATTGGTTATCATCACAATACCAGGTTTACCAATTTCAGTCAAAGGATTTTTTTCAGCTTTAAAGAACCTGCAAATTAGTTTAAAAAGGCATTACCAAGTTGCAGCTAATTCACTTTCAGATACAAAAAGGATAATCCCATCTATATTTAAGAGATTCCTTGATTTCACACTTCCAGGAAACAAAAAAAAAGGTAACTTAAAAATCAACTTTACGTACTATTTTCTTCATGATTATCTCCAATGTAAAACACTTGTAAATTTCTAAGATATCGTAAAATTATGATTATGAACTGATTATCAAGTCTTTCGATATATATAAAATAGTTCAAATTCATTTAAATGGTTGAGGTTAATACAGTAATTACAATTCAATATACATAACGCATACATCGAATCAGGAGTTACATGGCAACTAAGGACATTGGTTCATTATAAAAAGCTGTACATTATTCACACTAGGCTACTGAATAGGTGCTGAACATAGGGTATTCTTTGCATGTTCCGATTTGGATTTTTTTTTTTTTTTTTTTGGTCTTTTTCGTTTTTATCGGTACCAGGGATCGAACTCACGACTGCCTGCTTGCAAGGCAGGCGCTTATGCCGCTGAGCTAAACCTCCAGCCCCTCGATTTGGATTTTTATAACTAAATTTGCCTGAAGTGTTATGACCCCTAAGTGTTATGTCCTTCAAAGTCATCACCCTCTTCTTTTCACTTCCTAAGGAGTTCACTGTAAGCACTTTCAGGACCCAGTTTAAAAGGTGATCATAAAGTGTTTTGATGTTTGTTCCTTACCTGGCATGTCATTTGGGATAGCATAGAACAAATTAGGATTTATGATTTCTAATATGCTTGCTTGCACAGTTTTATTAACTGGCAGTTCTATCGTCTTCCACTGCTCTGCTGAAGACAAGGCTGAAGACATATGAAACATAGTTCTTGCATTAAATAGATGAAAGGTATTCTTCTTTTGCAGTAATGTATTTATGTACAATTTGTTCCTCAAATACTAACATCTCCAAATTATCAAAATAAAAACTCTGTATTTCACAAAACAATCTATTCAATTTGAGGGATTATGTGGGTGTTAAAGTTAATACTATGAGAATCTTTAAACTATTATACTCTTATAGTTCATTTCCATGGTATATTTAGTGTAATTCTTCAAAATAACTGAATGTTTAAGGGATACATATACGTATGATGCATGTTTATTTGCTATTTAAAAATTGTAACACTGGTTCAATAAAAAATCTGTTTCAATAAATATTAAGTTAACTTAATCTATTAATAATCTATGTCTATAAAGCAAATATCTACAGAAAAATGGTTTTGTTAAGGGTAAAGTTCTCACACAATGTAAAAGCAACAAAATTTAACAAGTGGTTTAAAAGTGTTACCTTGAAGCTCTTGGGTGTCAGTTTCATGACTGTGCTTATTAACAGGTCTGTTACTTGGTAAATCCTTGGATGGTGAACCAGCTTTTAAAACCAGATTTTCACTAATCAGAACATCACTAATTATTCTGGGATATGAAGTGGAAAGGTCAGTGAGTTCAACTCCCACTCCCTTTTCTGTGATTTCAACCACTCTAGCTTGGAGTTTTATTCCCGTAATACACATCTGAAATCTTGCTGTGGCTTCTTCAGTCCAATATTTGTTCCTAGGCTGTATATCTGGAAAGTAAGAACAGCATAAAAAGCAGCCCTTAGCACAAGCTGACTTTTTGCTTTTGACAGCATCCAGACAGCTCTTTGCCACATTTGCCATTCAGTTCAGCAATTCTGAATGACTTTTAATAATCCTCTGAAATATATATATGCATCCTTCCTGGCTGAATTACAGATAATGAACGGTTCCTCTAATACACTAGAGTTTTCGAAGGCTCCAGATATTTACTTTCCCCAGTAATATATTGCTAACTGGCACTGTTCCAATAGGTCAAATGGGTGTTCTTTTCGAATCCACCATCATGTTCTGATACACAATGAGGAGCTGCCAGTTCAAAGACGTCAACTTAAATACTCTCACTTGTCTGGAAAGTTTTCTGAAGATAATTTCAAATTTTCATTTGAAACTACTTATTTTTCTTCAGTGATTATGGCTTATATTCTTTTTCTTTTGAGATGGTGTTGCCCAAATTGGTCTCAAATACCCGAGCTCAAGTGATACTTCTTCAGTTTGCTGAGTATCTGGGAATAAACACTTTTCATTCATTCTGAGGGGGATTATTGGCAATGTCTTTTACTGTTTAAAAAAAACTTTAAAATTCAAACATTCATCTTATTTTGTGATCACCTCTTGTATGCGTATTCTCTGAAATATTTGTAATATTGTCTCTTATATATAATGCCAAGCACTGTTAAATGCCTTGTATTTTCTCCCTTTTATTATTTCTTTTAAAATTCTTTTTGGGGTTGTTTTGGTCTTTTTTGAGCAGAGTTCCACCACGCAGTTCAGGCTGGCCTTGAACTCATTTTGTAGCCCAGACTGGCCTTGAACTTGCAGCAATCCTCCTACCTCAGCCTCCTTAGTGCTGAGACTGCATGCGAGCATCACCACACCTGGTTTAATCTTAAAAATTCCTTGAGGAAGATATCATTTCTTCCAGATGAGGCCATGAAAGCAAGAAGGTTTAAATAACATCTCGCAGCTAGCTGCAGCAGAGTTGGCTCTAAGGTCATTCTCTGTGTTGCACTGCTATTGTGCTTCTCTTTTCGAATTTGTTTTCTTCACTTAAATTACAAATAATTCTTCTTATCAATAACAAACACTTAAAATCATTTTGATGATGTCATAATAGCAAATATGTAAGTAGAAATCTGAGTACCAGACCCTGTTTTAGTCATTAATTTAATCCTCACAACTCCAGATGAAATAGGTACCATCCGTAACATGGGTCATGATTTAGCCAAGCCTTAAAGCTTTATTAGTTACCAACAGCAGTGTAATGAATTCCACTGTAGCTGAACTTTGTGCAATTCTCAGACTGCTTTGGGATAAATTACTAGAAGTAAAACTGCTAAATTAGAAGGTCTGACAGATTGAGGCTCTTAAACAATTCTGCAAAATGCTTTCAAGAAGGTGGCATCCATTTTTTATTCCCATCAATAACAGAAAAGCAGCAGCTTCCCTTCTTTAACATGAATACTGGACATTATTCAAATAAAATGTTGAAATTATAGGCATTAATACTTAAATGTGTGCTAAATAGTAATAAAAAACAGAGAAGATTTTTTACTCTATCATACCTACTAACCAGCACTGTATCCCTTGAAATGGAAATTTTAAAAATTTTGATGGTATCATTTGGAGTTCATCTGTGGTAACTTCTTCAACATTTCCATAATCCACGAAATGTACTTTAACATTTCCATTTGGTAAGATTTCCTTGACTAAAGCACGATACCAGTTCCCATCACCTAGATTTAACACAATGTTTGTGAGATGGAACATTTCCCTTATATTTATATACTTGAAATTTTTATCTTGGGATAAAAACAAACCTCTAACTAACATAGATAATAAATTTGCTGTCTTCCCCACTTCACGACTTTACATTTTCAATCAAAAATCCCTAGATGAACTTTCCAAAATCTCATTTTTAGAATTATCTTCAAAATTTTTAATAATACATTTTAAAATCTGATATAAATTACAGTGATATCTTGGTTCACTAATTTAATTTGTTCTATGATTTTGGAAAAGATAGCAACATTTGTGTAAGAAAACAGCTGCAATAGTATTTGTTGCCTGATGCAGAGTTTGCAAACAAAAACAAATTTTCACCAAATGCTTCTGTTTGTGAATTAATCTGTTTGCAAACAAAAGTTTTGGTGAACTGAGGTAGCATTGTAATTTCAGAGCCAAGGATGTAGCTCAGAGTACTTGCCTTGCATATGAAAAGCCTTGAGCTTGATCCCTATTTAAGCAAACAAACAAACAACAACAAAACCTTATACTGCTCTTAATCACTAATGGTTTAGATTGACTTGTTACTTGATTAAATAGTATGAAAAATAAATTGTAGGAAAAACTCATGCAATGAAACTCACAAATTGAACAAACACATCTCAAAATTTACATGTATAGGGTGACTAGAAGAAACAATACCCTGAAGTGAACAGCTCTTTCATTACCTAATTTGTTGTTATAAATTATGGAAAGAAAATCACTGAAAAAATATATTTAACAAAATTTAGACAAGAATGTACTACTTGGAGATTCTTTGTCAAAAAAGGAAACAAATGACACCTTATTCATTTACTCCTATGTGCTTAAATGTTGAGTAGCAAGAAGGTTTGAATGTCAAGAAACAAAAGGTTTTAATGTCACAGTGAAATCAATTGCTATTTACCTGCAAAAAAAGCACAACAAGGTTGCCCTATTTCTGCCTTAAAACCATTATGAAACTTCTGTTGGCAATATTCTGCTAATGATTTATTCAAATCATTCAGCTTCTCCAAGGCTGAAAAATACAATACATATATTAACAATAAACACTGGGTTACACATAAAGGCTGATTATACAAACATAAGGTTGTGTTGATCTTGTGATTATTATACTTCACTTGTATTTGAGAACTCATTTATGGATGTAATATGCCAATGACATCAACAATTAAATTTCCAAAAATGAATTTAGAAAATAGTCTATGAAATTAGAATGGTTTAAATATAAGGACAGGGCCAGGGATTTGCTCAGCAATATGAGCGCCTGCCTGACAAGCACGAGGTCATGAGAACAGAAAAAAAGAGGACAGAAAAAAATTTTACAAAAATATGAGGACACATTGTTGAAAATAGAAATAATGGCTAACGACAGAATAAAGACCAAGTGTAAACAAATTTTTTGGGGAATACAAATACTCAATTGGCCCTTCTACTACTTCTATTGCTGTTATTGCTTATATCTAGATGTTCCCCTGAAACTTCATGCAGGCATGGATGGGGCTTTTCAGAGGTGGCTAGATCTAGAGTGTGTGATGCTGGGATAAAGGGTGTGAGATTACTTAATTAGTTCACTGATTAGTTTGGCACAGTTCTGGGTGTAGATGATGGGAAGGCCCACCCTGGGTATGAGTGCTACCCACCCTAAGGGTATGTAGCCTGGATAGAATGAAAGGGACAGAAAAAGGACTTCTGTTATCACTTGTGGCAGCACTACTTCACTGCTTACTGCCTTGCTGCCTTTTGCCTGCCAGGAACTGTTTCTCCTCTGCCATGCCATTATGTCTTCGAATCAGTCAACTTATAAATTAAGCCTCTACAAACTGTAAGCTACAATAAACCTCTCCTCCCTTAACTCTGTCTGAGTGTCAGGTATTTTGTCTCACCAATAAAAAAAGTAACCACGACACTAATAAACACATCTTAAATCATTATCTATACCTACATATTTGCATAAAAAATATATGTCAAAACTTACCATATTCTTTAAGGATATGACAATAAAATTCTCCAGGATTATACATCATGCAAACCACAACATCTACTGTTTGGTCAACAGCAAGTTCAACCCACGTCCACTCCAGTGGATTTGCTTTTCCCTCTGCACACAAAGGAACTGTGAAAACAAACATGTTGCATAACAAATGGACAAAGTATGGGGAAGCTCTAGCACCGGGTAAGCTGCTAATTTATCTATACTCTGGAAAATGTAAGTTTCCCCTGACATTCTAAATGATATAGGAAAATTAATCTTAAAAAATCAATTTTAACAATCATTTTTCCTCACTGCATTTAAAATTTTAATTTCTGATCAGTCTCCAACTTCCAGTGATCCATAAAACTTTCAACAAAACTTTCAGCAATCAAACACATTCTTAAACATATTTAGATGAATGCTTGATTTAAAAAGATGATAAAGCACTAAACATTACAGAACCTCCTGAACTCCTGCACATACATTATCTAGTAGATAATTTGCTTACCACTGGGTTTATCTGTCACTGTCTCCTTTTCACCTATGGCGAAGCCGGCCTCTATAAGAACTTTGGCAACACTGATGACAGGCGTCACAGATTTATCTGTAAGTTCTACCAGGGAACTATTTTCCAACTTGTCCACCACTTTCACTATGACCATTTTATTCTGCACAATTTTTTTCATAAGACAAATAGCCTCTGGAGTCCAAATTCCTAATGATGGCTTGACTCCTAATAAAGAATTTTTAAAAGAATGTTAAAATAATTCCTGAAACAAGTATCTTGACCTATAATTCCTGATTTCCATATACTTAAAATCTGTGCCAAACATGAACCAAAAAGTCTTTCCTAGGAGAAAGGTTTTCTCAACATGAAAAAGAATACAGGATTGATAAAGAAAAGGCCTATAAGGGGCTGGGGATTTAGCTCAGTGGCATAAGCACCTGCCTTGCAAGCAGGCAGTTGTGAGTTTGATCCCCGGTACTGATAAAAAGACAAAAAAAGACAAAAAAAAAAAAAAAAAAAAAGCCTATATAAAATGCTTTTATGCTTTTCTGTAAAAAAAACTGTAATTCTGATGATAGAAAATGTCTGATAAAATAAATCTATAGTATATTAGCTGTTTCTTAAGGAGCAAGATTTAGCTATAAAGTAGGTCTGAGAGACCTCACTGGGTTGATGAAAGTGCTTCAAAACTTGACCCATGATAATTATGTAGAGCCCACTAAATTTACTACAAAGTACTGACTTATATATCCAAAACAGTAACTTTTAGAGTATGTAAGTTATACTTCAATAAAATTATTAATAATAAACAACAGTATAAAACAATCCAGGAGAAATACCTGTCTCTTCATTAGCACATGACACATTTACGGCACAATCAGCACTGAAAGTGCATTTACAAATCAACACTTTTGAGGTTATGGCTAAGTCAAATCATCAAATGCAAGATCCAAATAATTTACAGAAAATATTCAGCCTCCAGTGACAAAAAATTGAAATGATTTTGGTTTTAGCTTATCAACACTGACCAAGATGAAAAAATCTCTGTCTGGTACATGGATGTATGAACAAGTTCATTCCCTCATACTTTTCCGGTGAGCATATAAACTAATTCAACTCTTTCTGAAGGACAATGCAGCATATGTATCACAGAGATGAGAAGCAGAAAATTCACTGACACTTAGATTTTGTTACATGGCCTCAGGAAATGATCTTGGATATGTGGCAAAACATAGTTAAAAGAAAACTGCTAACAGCAAACCTTGGGAATATCTTTCTGATATTAGATAATAGTTAAAATGTGATACATTTGACTAAAGACTGCTGAAGCCAATTTATTGAGCTGGAAAGAAAGCCCTGGTCCTGGGGGAACAAATTACATGCATGATAATTTCTAAATATATGATCATATGTTATTATTTTATCAAGCAGGTTTTCCCTGCCTCATGCATTTTTTTCACATCTCAATTTTCATTTCTAGGTTCTAATATTTTAATCATAGCAGGACCATAAATAGTTCATACCTGCCAGCATACATTTTAGAGCTTGCACTGGTAATTCCAACAACTTTGGAATTATGGGACAAAGTCTTGTCAAACTAAGGATCTCAAAGTTTCCATAGTCGACATACCCAACCAGTACAGATTCTTCAGAAGCATAGGCCAAAACAGAGGCACGGTACCACTGATCATCCTCTGAAACAAAGAAGACTCAGTTTTAAATGATTTTCCATGAAGGTAAACATCAAATTAGATTGTAATAGCTAAATTTTACTTTTAAAAATGGCAAGTTTTATTAAATATGTATGCTAACTAAATACTGCACATTCTGCTCATCCAATGCCTTCAATTCCTAAAATGCAACCTTTACTATTAGCTTCCTAATTATGTCATATGCTATCATTATTGATTTGTATGCTTTGTCTAATAGACAACTCAGTAGGGCAGAGAATATGTCTTGATTGTGTGAATACCCAAGGTCCTGATGAATACATGAATCATTTGCATCAAGCAGGGCACTTCTAGAACACCAGCGGTATGACTCTGCAAGCCAAGCAGATGACATGCTGGGGGCTTATTAGTTACTCATCATCCCTTCAGCACAGAGTAACAGAACTTGGCAGGCATAAGGCAGGGTCTGTGCAATTACAAAGACTGTACTATTAACAGTGCTAACCTTCCAAGCCCACTTGCTGTATCAAATAAAACTGGGGAAGATATGAACCTAGAGCTTCTTTATCCTGTGTTTATGTAAACAGAATGATCCGTGCCAATTTCCAAACACCAATGGGCTGGAAAAAACATACATGCTTTACTTACTATCCCCTCTTGACACTCGCAGGTTCTCTGCCCTTTCACATATCAACACACATTCCTTTGATCTAGTTTAACTAAACAGGTTTAAAAGGATAAATGGTGCACCTAAATATACATGCTTCAAATGTGGCCATTCAGTGCCAAGGACTCTGTCTCACCTTTACTCAGATGTAAGTAAAACATTCAACAATGTTGTATTTACTTGCCTGAGAACTGAGCACAACATATATCTCCAATGGATGGAAAAAAGTTAGACCGTGGATGTACTTGACTACAGTACTCACTAAGGGATGTCTGAAGTTCAGCAAGCTTATCTGTGGATACAGATCACATATTAAACAAAAGGAAGGCATCTATACCTTATCTGAGTTTTGCATTTTGAGTCTTGAAGTAGGTTACTGTGATAAAAATAAATTAAGAACATTTACTTACGGCCACTTTGTAGTTGTTGGCAAAAGAAGTCTCCTGGTGTCTGAATGTGGGCAACCACACCACAGAATTCATCACCTACATTCAAAGTTAGCACTTTGGGGATTAGGTCACTTTTATCTATACCAACTTTGTTTTCAGCTGTCATCATTCCAACATCTTCAGGAAGACCTTCTTCAAAAACAGAAAAATAAGTTATTTTGGTTTCATTACATTTAAAAAAAAATCAATAAAACTGATCATTATGAATCTGAATGGGCAAAATTCCTGGAAGATGCAGTCTAAGGTAAAGTGAGTTTTCTATCAAACCAAAGGCCAGGCTTAGTCCTAAGAAAGAAAAGCAGTAGCATAAAAAAAAATTCAGATTTAAATAAAAAGTTATATAATAGAATATTTATAGTTTCTAAAAGTTCAAGAAAATATAACTTGGAATGCATAAACTCAGATTATCCCGAAGTAAAAATATATCAGAGTAGGACCCATTCTACAGTGAAATAAATCCCGTAAGAAAAAAATATATCATAATAAAACAATAAATTGAATTACAAACACAATTTTTAAGCCAGGCATGGTGGTGCACACCTGCAATTCCCGCACTCTGGGAGGCTGACGTAGGAGGATCGCAAGTTTCAGCCCAGTCTGGGTAACTTAGTGAGACTGTCACAAAATAAATAAAAATGGGCTGGGGAGTATGAAGGTCCTAGTTCAATTCCCAGTACTGCAAAAAACCAAACCAAAACAAAACATAAATAAAAACACAAAAATATAAATTTTTCACAATTAAAAAATGCATTCAATAAAAACAAAAACAAAAAAAATAGAAGCAACATATATACTAAGAGACAAAAAAAGAAAAGCAAGGTTGATATTAGAATTTGAAGGAGAAAGGGCTTCAAGCACCAAAAATCATTTGTGAACAAGAAAACTCATAGGAATGGAAAAGCACATGGCCTGAAAAGTTCCACATTCTCAATAAATGTGTTTTTAGGGTTAAGATTTAAGAATCACAATGACATTAACATATTGAAATCTACAAAAGTTACTGCTAGTGATATTCAAATAAAACTTCAACTTCATTTTTTAAACTCAGAAATATAAGACATATTTTCAAAAGTATGTCAAAATTATTAAAGAAAGCAATCTTCACTATGAACCTATATAGTCTGACTCTTTGAAGGCCAAGCAGAGTCTGTGATGACACACAGAAGTGGAGGGAATCTGTCACTTACAAATGACGTTTCAGAGCACATTACAAGAGATTCTTGAAGTTATGTCAGAAATCTCTCTGAAATGGATAACTGACCCCAAACTCTATCCCATATAAATTCAATAATCTCAAATATAAAAGGTAAAGAAACTGAGAGTCAATACCATTTTTAAAATCTTTCAATAGCAAAAAAACAAACAAAAACAACACACACAAAAAAAACCAACAACCCACCACCACCCTGTTGTTTCATAAGAAAGGATTAACAGTATGGTGGAAAGAGCACTAAACTGGAGTAAGTGGGCCTAGATTCTGATCTCCCCTATCTTAGAGTAACCCACTGCATTGTCAGCACGATTCCTCACATGTAAAAGGATGGGGTAGATGATCTCAACAGTTTTTCAGCTGCATGATTCCATCAAAAGATCAAGGGTTTCTAAAAATTATATATTGAACATCTGTTATGTCAGGTGCCATGGTAAGCAATGGAGAAAGACAGTTAAGTAAAGGGCTATGATTTCAGTTCCTAGAAGTTCTAAATATTAGAGGAAGGACAGATGATGTTCACATCAGGAATTAAATACGATAAATATTTCAAACAGGGAGGCCTGGTGAGGGGCTGCATAGTGAGAGGCAGAAGTGGAGCTGGGTAGGAGAGTCCCTTAGAAGACGAGGCAAGAGCATCGCAGCAGGTAGTACTCCGACTCACAGAAGAGGAGGGTAAGCTGTGAAGTCTTCTCAGTGGGCCCATATGAAGGGGTATGACAGAAGCCCAGACTGGACTCTGTAATAGGGTCACGGGTTTTTGTTTTTGTTGAGACAGGGTCTCCCTGTGCATTCAGCTGGTCCTGAACTCACCATATAGCCCAGGCTGGCCTCTAGCTCGAGGAGATCCTCCTGCTTCCAGGCTTTCACTCTTAACAAGGCTTACCAGCATCCCATTTCTACCTCTTACTTAATCTAACTGCCAGGTCTCTCTACTTTCCTATACCCCACAAACACTACTTTAGTCCAATAAGGGCCATAACTCCAGGGGCCTTGTGTCTTTCCATTCTCTTAAATTGGCTTCAGAATAAGTCCAATTCCCTTAACATAGCTCACAAAATCTTTAGTGATTTCTGCTAACTCACTTCCTAACCTTCTTTTCCTTATTCTAGAGCTGCCCCAGATAGGCAACTCTAGCCACACCCATTTTTCAGACCTAGCCATGCTCTTTTAAATCTCAAGGCCTTAACATGTTTTCTTTCTTCTTGAAACACTGCTCTCCACCTCAGCACCTGCTATTTCCCACTCAGTGTAGTGCCACTCCAAAGAAGCTTCTCTCTATGTCTTGGTTAGGTGCTCTGCCCTCTTCCTTGGGCTCACAATGTGCCACAATTTACTGTATTGCCCTGATGTATCTCCTCTCTGTATGGCTGCATTGGTCACGGAACACCCTTCATGGGGGCACCTCCACAGCAAAGAACTACTGAAAGCTTTTTAGCAGAGCTGTTACACCAAGATTTATGTTTCATGGATATCACAGGAAAGTACCATATAAGTATAGACTGGAGACTGTTTTAACTGCCCATGAATGAGGAGGATTCCTGACACTAGGAAATGGTAGTAAGAAAGAAAAAAATGAAAAAAATATATAAAGGGTATTTGGGAAGAAGAATCTAGTCACTAAAAACTAGATAGGGTAAGGAATGGGAGATAAGGGGAAAGACACATTCACGTCATGGCATCATCCTGGTTCGTGAACAAGAGACAACGAATTAATTCTATCTACACCGAAAGTAATTGGTAAAGGAACACAATGGAAGAGGAAACAAACCACATACAACTATGCAAAATGCATAATAATTCTGGGAAGGAGCAGTTAGAAATCACTAACTAGGTATGGTGGCCCACACACCTATAATCCCAGAACTCTGAGATGTGGTAGCAGAGGGATAACAAGTTCAAGCCTAGCTTGGGCAACCTAAAGACCCTAACTCAAAATTTTAAAAAAAATTTTATAAAAAATGACTGGGGATGTACCCAGTATGAAGGCCCTGGAGTGCTCAATCCCCAGTACTCAAAAAAATTACTAAATTAGAAAACCTCATCTCTCTTGGAAAGGCTATAGAATAGACTTAAGTCTTGACATGCCACAGTCATGCCTTTTTGATTTAGTAGAAAAGACACTCTCATAACTCAAGTCACTACATTGTTTAATATTCATCTGTATACTCACTTTGATCTGCACATTGCTTCTTAGAATTTTGTCCTTTGGCTTTCAAAGCATATCCCATTTCTACAAGCACCTGATCTAAGAATTCTCCTAAAATTAAGAAAATATATCTCCATTGAAATACTTTATAAAGCATAGGAAAGTTATACATGAAAAACAAATCATAAGATATTTTAGCTATTAATGTAATAGCATGTATCATGGTATCAAGTTACTATGGGCAAACTATAGTTTAGTAATGAGCAGCTTTAAAAATTGAAGCAAATGCCTATAGTTACTTGATGGAAAACACTATGAATCTATTTCTTTTCAAAATTCTAAATAACATGAAAAGTTCAGTTATTATCCCACAAGCACACTTAAAATAACCACCATTTATGGGAAGAAATCAGTCTAAGTCACTAGATTCCATTTGTGTCAGACTGACAATATGGCTAAAATAAAGGTTAATCAGCACTGACATGAATTTCAAGTTCTCAATAATATCTAAAAGTTGGGATCAGCATGAAATATACTTAGCAAAGAAACAAAACTCATAAATTTCATGCTAAATTTCAACACATCAACTGCACTTTTTGACATCTTACCCATGACACTTAAAAGTAGAGGAACGAGAAAATCTTAGGAACTCAACATCACATATATACTCTAAGAAGTTGCTTTTCAAACAGATATGAATACACAATGGAAAGATGGGATTCCAAAATGTTTTCATTTCTACAATATAAGCATTATGGACTAACAAAATACAGTTCTGTGGGAATGACTCTAAGAAAAGCACAGGTTATAAGGAATAAATGCAAGAATTTCTCTCAAAGGAGAAATCAGGAGTAAATAGTACAATGACTGTATTAAAAAGGTACTAATACAGTTGACATCTAAATCTAGCCTCTTAGCCACTCAGTTCTATGAATCTGTGAAACATAGTTGACAAATTGCCAATACAAGTCCCCACTGTCAGTCAAAATCTAAATAATTCCAGAATGGAGTTTAGTTGGCCTCACTTACTTCTTCTCAAATAAATAGGTGATAGCCTAAAACAAGATATTAAGTAATTTACAAAGAAAGATTGAGACCTTACCTGAACTTTGCAGTGTAACATCTACAGCGTAGGTAACCCCTTCTTCTTCTAAGATGTCGACAATCTTTATAGAGCAGTACTGCTCCATCAACAGTGATTTAATAGTTTTGATACAATCATTGCTCCAAATACCCTCTGCTGGGATAACACCAGCCACAGAGCACTTTATAGCCTGAAAGATTTGTGTAAGTTACTTGTGAGAATTAGTATTTAAAAATGAAATTTTGGGGGGCCAGGGATTTAGTTCAGCAGCGTAAGCACCCACTTGGCAAGCACTAGGTCATGAGTTTGATCCCAGGTACAAAAAAAAAAGAAAAGAAAATTTTCTAAATAATTTTGTGAGGTTTTTTTTTCCCCTCAAAGAATGTATCTGATATTAAAAACTTATGAGAAGTCTTCGAGTACTAACCAGATAAACAATTTTAGGTATAATTGTATTTGTCTCTCTTATTACATCATTCACAATGCTAACTTTTGGTACTTTAAGCATGAGAAATTCATGGAAGGACAATAACTAGACTAACTATAATGATTTTGGTCACTTTCAAAGAATGTAATAAATATAGAAGAGAGCAGATCGAAGCCAAGCATGGCAGCATACACTAGTAACCTCAGCATTACGGGAGGCCAAAGCAAGACGGACTGATTGCAAGTTTGAGCGAGTTTGGTCAACTTAGGCAGACTCTGTCTTAAAGAGACAGGTAAAAAATGGTTGGGGATGTAGTTTAATGTGGAGATTCTAGGTTCAATCATAGTACCACCAAAAAAAAAAAAGTAGATAGATAAGATGTGCCTAAATGTTAGTTTCTTAGCTAAAATTCTACTTAACTAAATAAGGGGTAACAGAGTCAAGACAGCCAATAGGTATTCATTTACATACTAAAAGATCTACCAACAGGCGTATCAACATGGTGGAATAAAAGAAAAAAATTGTACCAAACAGAATATTAAAAACAGATCCTTAGACACTGATAGGAATTATGAAGAAAAAGACTCACAGAAGGAGGAAACAATTCAATGTTTCTATGTAGTTGGTGAATTTTGTTTACTGGAATTATTTCTTCATTTCCATAATCAATATACAAGACTTGTGCTGTCTGCTTTAGCACATCAACGTCTTGAATTATTACTCTATTCCAAGTCTGGAAAAGAAACAGGATAGTATAGTCTGCTTTAAAACAGTATTTCACAATCTTCAATCAGTTTTAAAGACCACGCAAAGAAAAAGGCTCCTGGTTTGTTCAAAGACATTCAGTTAAAATGTCAACTTCATTTGTTACCAATCTTGCTAAGAAATATCTAAAATTATCTAATTAGGACATTCTATTCCCAAGCCATTTCAGCTTAGATGACTATTACACATTAATACCTCAGCTACATAACCATAAGCTCTAAGACAATCAGTCTATAACAAGCTACCTAGAAACCAAAGTCAGCACTGGAGAGGGATACGGCAGGGAGAAAATAAAGTGATCACGACATGGAGTAACGAGGACATGAGTGTGACTTAAGTCTGAATTAAGCCCTTTTATCCATCATTAAAAGTTCTGGTGTTGACGAGTTGATACAGCCAAGGTAAATTGAAATATTTTATTAACTCAGTTCATCAACAGTTACCTGATCAACAGCGTACTTGGCAACGCAAACTTCCCCCTTAATAGGAATATAATCTTCATCCACCACATTTGCGTATGTTTCTTTTAAGCTTGCAGACAATTGGTTCATGTGTTTTAAAGCTTCTGAAGAATACAACTGGACATAAAAGTCACCTGGGTGTTTGAATTCAGTAACTGTACCCTTTCAGAGACAGAGAAGACACAATAATTCACTGCAAACAAAAGCAAATGTAAATTTCTTAAAGCTTTATAACTAAGATAAAAAATGTATTAGTTTTTTCAATCTTTACTAATTTAATCAGATATATTCTCTATTTATGATCTCTAATTAAAAACAGGGAATGTGTAAATAATAAATGGTCATTCTTTGGTATCTGCCTATGACAAATACAGAATAAATACCTTTACTTCCATGGTTTTCTTGAGATGTAAACTTTTCAAATCAGAAAACATTATTTTTTCAGCACCATTGGCTATTTCTTTAGTAACTGCAGATGGACAGTCACTCTGATGTGAAAAAACACATAAAAGCATTATTTACAAGCTCATGTTTTAATGATACTGTGGATGCTAATTGCTAGATTCATGGCTTCAAAAGTCACATTCCTACGCTTAAAGAAGAGTACACAAAAAGGGACAGCCTCCAAGACTTCCTAAAACCACTTCCCATAGGCAATGTACACAGCACTGTGCATTACTGCAGAATGAGGTTGTGATAGGTAAGATAATGTTGAATTCACTTAAACAAAAATAGGGATGCAGTGCATTAATAAGTATGCATTTAAAATTTTAAATTGGGGCTAGGTATAGCGGTGACTGCCTGTAATTCCAGCACCCTGGGAGACTAAGGCAGAGGATCATAAGTTGGAGCCAACTGGGCCATTTAGCTAGACCATCTGAACAAAGAAACAACACTACTTGAGAAAGTAGCTCAATGTGAAAGCCCTGAGTTCAGTTCCCTGTACCCTGATTGATGAACCAATAAAAATCCAAAGCAGAAAGTCAAAACTTAAAAACAGATGAAGAGGACCGAAGATATAGCTCAGTGGCACGAGTGCCTGCTCGGCCAAGTGCAAGATCCTGAGTTTGATTCCTGGTACAAAAAAAAAAAAAAAAAAAAAAGTAGCAGCTAGACAAAGCTAAAAATATCTATAAAGATAAATTAACATACAATAAAAGTGCTTTGAATTACAAGTAAGTTAGTCTCTTATATTTAAATGGAAGAGAGCCTATTAACAAAAATAAATGCACCTTTAAATAGGATGCCAGGCCCTACACAAAGGGGCAGGCACTAACAGAATTGGCACATGAGGGCCATGAGCAGATTTTACACGGGAACAGCCATCTCAAAGAACTTTTAAGAAAAGATTAGAAAGAAACAATTCTCAAAGACTCCTCAGTTATCAAATCCCATCACTAGGATATACAGAGTTAATGGGAAATTTTTATCTTTAAACATTTGTGAAGAAGTTAGCTTAAATCTTAATACAGGAGAGTCACTTAAAATTTTCTCTAAAGATGAAGAATACCATACCTCATTTTTCACTTCCACATTCGTTTCAAAAGGTGGTTTATTATCTTGAAGTTTGTAGAAACTGAAATATAGCAACAGATTGCAACACTTATGCTACCTAGGCAACTAAGAGGCCATTAATCACAAAGATCTTAGATGCTCAATGAACAAAATACAGAAAGAACAAAACAGCATCTTCCAGTGACAGTAGTAACAAAGTCAAACAATTCACTGTTGCCTATGCAATGGTCTACACTGTGTGTGCACAGGTATGCCTCTTCCAAAAGTTACCAGCTGAAAGGGCAACAGTCAACCATCAAGCCTCTGTTTTCTCATCTGTAAAATGGAAGCAATCCTTACATTATGTAGACAGAGTTTTGGGGATCAAATGAAACTGTTTTGTAAACTGGTAAACATCATGCAAGTAAGATTTATGTATTTTAAAATTACAACTCAAGAGGCTCTGTGAAAATTACAAATTATTAAAATTCTGGCAAGCACCTGTGGTCAAAAAGATTTCTAAAATTCTAACCATTACAAATGCACTTCAGTTTCTAAATCTTGGTATGTACTAATGAAAAGATACTAATAAAACTAAGTTTATAGAGCTATTTACTTCAGACTTACACATTTCATTTACACATTTCTATTTAATAAATAGTAAATCTGACATACTTCTGGCCCGCTTAACGGATTAGATCCCTGTGCTGTTTGGGGAAGGAAAAAACAAAAACTTTTTCAGTATTTCCCAGCAAATGAAGAGCATGAACACTTACTTTTGCTGGACAGGTTTACACACAATGCTGTGGGTGGACCAGTCCCTCCGCTGACATGCCGTGGAGCAGTAGTAAGTCTGCTTGCACTGAGAGCACCTCAGTGACCCTGTGGAGTACAACCTGGAATGTCACTGGAGGTGTGTGCCAAGAAGGTGACACTGAGATCGTAACATATTCAAAAACTAAGCATATCATTAACATCACTCTGCTAATCATCTCAGGAAGATAGTTGTGCTGTTTATGATTAGGTTAAGATTTAACTTTTAAAACTCTCCCAAAATGCAGAGAAAAAGGATTACAAGGATGAAAATCAGAGGAAGGTCAGACTGGAGACATAAATGACTTTCCCTAAAACAGAGGCTAGAAAATACGAAAGAAGAAACCAAAGCAAACAGAAAACTTGTAGTGGAAACCACAAAGTAGACTGAAATAATTTATTATGTATCATTATACAACAAAAATTATGAGAATCATGCCTAGAAAAACCTAAAAGTTTTTGAGATAAGCTATTTTTAAAAGCCTCAGTATCCAATTGGAAGAAAACAAGTAATCTAAAAAACAAAAAAAGAACAAACAATAACAATAAATAAGTCAGGTTGATATTAAATATTTCTACCCTCAGTGAAGGTGAAAACAAAAACAACCTAAAATTCAAATAGCTAGTAAGCACACAGAAAAACTACTCAAGGCCACTGATCATAAGAACAACACATTAGGACAATGAGATAACACAGCACAACCATGAGATGAATTACTAAAACAACTGACAACATCAAATGCTGGCAGTGGTGTACAGCAAGCAGAACTCATTACCAATGGACTACCTTGGAAAATGATTTGGCAGTTTTTTATAAAGCTAAAAGTATACCTGCCCTCTGACTCAGCAATTCTACTCCTGCAATCCTACTCCTACTTCTAGTCCTGCACTCAAGATAAAAACACATGTGTATACAAAGAGTTGGACAAAAATGTTTAGATTGTTCTATTCATAACAGCCCAAAGTTGGACAAAACCATGTTTATTAACAGGAAAATGAATAAACAAATTGTGTTAGAACATTATATTGCACATAGTAAACATAAATTTTATGTCAATTAAAAAAATAGGAGCTGTGTATGTAGCTCAGTGGTAGTGTGTTATTCTAGCATTCATGAGGCCCTGTGTTTGGTTCTGAAGACTGCAAATAAGACAGGATGAAATAACAAATTTTAGGGCTGGAGATTTAGCTCAGCTGCATAAGCACCTGCCTGGCAAGTATGAGGTCATGAGCTCATCCCCGGTACCTAAATAAATAAATAAATTTTAATGTAATCATATAATGGAACACCACTTAGCAACAAAGAAAAAAATAACGATCATGGGTGGATTTTGCTACTGAAGGTAAGTAACATAGATAACACACATATACATTATTCTATTTACATTCTACATGTTTAAAATTTTCCATATTTTTAAGCGTGTATTAGAATAATCTAGTGGACACCTAAGAGTACTATGCTTACCAAACAGGCCACAGCGATGGCAAGTTGTTGACCGAAAAGGAAGTCGTAAAGTGTTGAAAAGTGCTGGATTATTTATAGACAAAGAATTCTTAACAAACTGGTGTGATTTTTTTGACTTCGCAGAAGATACATTATTGGTAGGCTTCTATTAAGAACAGAGAACAGCAATATTAGAATTTGGTAATCAGTTCTTTTAAATACTAGATTTAAAACTTTCTCTTTTGGTCAGATGGAATTTTCCCTATTCATCTATTCAATACACCTTAGAACCCTAAACTCTTCTAGAAAACAAATAAGACTGAAAGGGAAGTATCTATACTATACTCAAGTTCATAAAATGATGACATAAGTTGTGTATATATAGAGGAAAATCTTCCAGAAAACTTACACAAAGTAATGTACTCAAAATCACTACACAAATCAAAATTAGATTATGAAAACTCTTCAAAGAATCCACAAGGCAGGAAAAACAACAAAATACAAATGGCAAACTTTAAGCCCCCAAATATCACTAGTTACTTTAAATGTCCATGCTTTAAACATACCAATTAAAAGACAGACTGGTGAAATGTATTTAAAAATGTACTTCATTATATGCTATTAAGAAGTTCACTTCAAGTACAATGATGTAAGCAGACTGGCAATAAAAAGATGGATAAGTACCCATATAATAGAGTGATTGAATTAATATCAGATAAAAAATTTCAGAGGAAGAAAAATTACCAGAGAGGTGTATTAAGATGACAAAAATGTCAACCCAACAGGAAGACACAGCAATCCTAAATGTGTAACAAATAACACAGCTATAAAACGTAAAGCAAAACTGAACTGCAAAGACAAATAGGCAATACATAATTTTTGTTTTGGCTGTATTGGGGACTGACCCCAAGGCCTTCACACTGAATTACATCCCAGGTCCTTTTTTTTTTTTTTTTTTTTTTTTTTAAATTGCAGACAAGGTGTCACTAATTTGCCCAGGCTGGCTTGAACTTGGAATATTTCTGCCTCAGCTTTCCAGAGTGCTGTTTCATAAATAAATAAATAGGTTAATGAATCAACTAATTAAGGAGTAGGGGTGTAGATCCATGGAAGAGTGTACAAAGCCCTGAATTCAATCCCCGTCACAGGGTATGTGTGTGTGCGTGCATGCGCGCGCCTACTATTACTGATAAAGAAGTGAGCGCTTTCTCCTTAATACTGGAAACAAGATCATTATATCCACTATCACCACCCTTATTTGATATGAGTTCTTGCCAGTGCAATTAGACAAGACCTGCCTCACCTTCTTGTCCCAAATGCTTATGTGAAGAAAAAGGAGAAAAGGCATGGGGATGCAGGCAGGTTGGTTACATGCAGTTTCATTTATGCTTTTTAAAGTCCTCTAAGTCTGCCATTGCCTCAGACTAGAACTGCAAGCAGTACACATAATGGGGGTGATTCTCAATAGATGAATATTATGCCCCATGAGAAGGACTGTACTTCACAGACTTGTCCTGCTTCCATTCTGTCATCAACAATGTACTGTAATTCATGAAATTTCACATACTTTGATTATAAATTTTGTGTCAAAAAACCACTATGAAGCATTAAAGATGTTCATACCCTCCTAAAGTGTGTGTGTGAGAGAGGTTGTATGTGTGTATAAAAAAGTAAGCAGATATGTAGAAAACTGCTTGGGATGTAGAAAGTTTCAGAATAAGTGCTCAGAACACAAGACAGATATATAAAACTCAATCATATGTTAACATAATAGCAATAAATATGAGGACATGCAAAGATAAAAAATATAATCATTCAAAAAGTGCAAGCCTTAAGCATTAACCTAACAAAATAGGCACAGGACTCGTAGGATAAAAACTACAAAGTGCAAGGAATCAAAGATCTAAATAAGTGGAAAAGCATTGTGGTAAGATTTGGAAAATTCAACTCAGCAAAGTTGTCAATAATTTTCAAATTGATATGCAGGTTCATATCAAAATCCCAGTGAGATTATTTTGTAGGTATGAACTATTATTCTGAATAAAGAATTTGAAGGCAGAGGATCCAGCATTAGTGATATCAATTTTGAAAAAGAAAAAGTGGAATGAATCACTTTACCCACTTTTAAGATTATTGGGGCTGGGGATAGCTCAGCGGCATAAGCGCCTGCCTTGCAAGCGCATGGTCATGAGTTCAATCCCTGGGGCTGGAGATTTAGCTCAGCGGCATAAGCACCTGCCTTGCAAGCGCATGGTCGTAATTCAATCCCCGGTACCAATAAAAAAAGAAAGACTTATTAAGTAGGTCTAATAATCAAGACTGTATAGTATTGGTAGAGGCATACACAGATTAATGGAAAACAATAGAAAAACCAGCAAAGAACTGTAGAACCCAGAACTAAGAAGTAACTAAGGTTTGAGAGTAAAATAAAACTTTGAACATCACCAAATCACAAGAATGCAGAGATCATACATTCTTAGTGAAAATATAAAATGGTACAGTCACTCTAGAGAACAGTTCAGAAGCTTCTTAAAATATGCAATAATTATATAACCTCAAAACTACACACTTGGGCATTTATTTTGAAGCAATAAAAACTTGAATACAGCAATTTTACTTTCAATGGTCAGAAGCTGGAATCAATGCATATATACATTATTGGGTGAATGGTTAAGCAAGCTATACAAACTGCTGGTACATAAAACAACCTAGATCTATTTCCAGAGAATTACTCAAGTGAAAAAAAGCCAATCCAAAAAAAATTATATACTAACTCCATCTACACATTTCTTTTTTTTATTAATTTTTTTTTTTTTTTTTTGTCTTTTTCGGTACCAGGGATCGAACTCACGACTGCCTGCTTGCAAGGCAGGCGCTTATGCTGCTGAGCTAAATCCCCAGCCCCATCTACACATTTCTAAAACATCAAAACTGTAATTAAGAAACAGTAATGGCTGCCAGGGATTAAGGGGGTAAGGGCATAAGGGAAGTAGATGAGCATAAGAAAATACAAGGAATGCTTGTAATGACAGAAATATTCTGCATCTTGATTGTATCAATGTCAAAATCATACTTTTAATATTGTTCTGTAGTTTGTTACTACTGAGGGAAACTGGATGTTACATAAAATTTCTATTTTTAACAACTGTATATGAAACTACATTTATCTAAAAAAATTTCTTAAGGTGCTAGATTAAAGAAAATCGAGGCTGGAGTAATGAAGGATAAAACTAATCAAAATGCAATATAGATATACACCAGTTCTCCAAGATGACTGCAATTACTATGAATCACAAACATAGACTTTCTTATTTTTTTTTTTTTTGTCTTTTTCCTTTTTATCAGTACCAGGGATCGAACTCACGACTGCCTGCTTGCAAGGCAGGTGCTTATGCCGCTGAGCTAAATCCCCAATCCCACAAACATATACTAATAAAACTTTTAAGAAAATCTGGCCTTAAATCATTACCTAGAAATTTAATATTTTTATCAGCACAATGTGAAAATGTTATTTTACCCTAACCAAAGTGCAAAATAGCAAACAAACAAACAAACAAAAAAAGACTTACAGGTTTTACTTCTCTGGGTGGTGAACCATTTCCCACACTTAATGGTGACACTGAGTTTCCTGGGAAAGAAAAACAATTAACAAAAACCAAATTATCATGATTTATCCTGATAATAAAAAGTCCCATAATTGTCTGACATTCAAATAATGGTCATTCCATAACAACCTTATAATTACACTATACATTAAGTAACATCCTGTTTTTCCTAACACTATATAAGGGCTTGAGTAAATCTTTTGACTACTGCTGTTCTATGAACTCTTCCCTATTTAAAAAACAGCAATTCTCAAACTTTTGAACTCAGTACCCCTTCAATACTCATAAAAGTCACTGAAGAGCCCAAAGAGCCTGTTTACATGGCTTATGTTTATCACTATTTATATTAGAAATTAAAACTAAATTTAAAATATTTATTCAAATAAAAATATATTTATATATTGACATAATTTGTTTTTAAAATTTTTCAAAACAAAAAAGTGCTAAAAAGTTTACATTTTTGCACACCTGTTTGACTTAAGACAGCTGGATTCATAATATCTAGAGTATGTATGAGTACCTTTGCATCTGATTTGTCATGTGCTGCTTTGGTTGAAATTTCTGAAGAAATCTAGCCTCACACAGATGACATTGGCAAAATGAGGAGTATTTAATGTCCTGGAATAACTGTGGACACTTGTTTAATGGGTAATTCCAAGTGGCAGCTTAACTGCAGCAAGGACTCTAAACCACGTTACTCTCTTATATTGGAATCAACTGATTTATCCTGACCTTTGAAAAGACCATCAACCATGTGGAATGGAGAAGGTTGGTTCACCCAGTTACACAGAATTGTCAAATGTTGACACATTTCACTATACAATATCATATGTTACTATCACCTGTATCTTACAAGGAAAGATTTAAATATTTGGGTGTGCTCTTAAACTCAGAATGGCAGACACAACTTTCCTACAACCCTGCTTTGCTTAAAAGTTCAAATTTTGTCGTTGGCAATGAAGTACTGTCAGGATGTTCTTAAAGTAACAAGCTAGTTTAGCTAACTCTTTAGAAAATGCTTGGTAAATATCCAAGTCCAAAAAAATCAAAATTTGTCAAACAAAAAGAACGTTTCAAGAAAAAAGTTGGTAACTCAGTCACATTCATACGTTTCATACGTTGGAAGGTTTCATAGTTTTGTGTGCTTCATTACACAAAACAAGAAAAATATCTGTGTATAAGGGTCAAAGTTTAATAAAAATATTCTTTACAGTTTAATTGAAGAAATTGTTAAGTGAAATTGGCACTTCTGGGTTTTATTTGACTGCAGGCTCACAGCAATGAAATCAATGACCATTAGCCCAGGAATGTGCCCTGGCCTTAAACTGAGCTAGAATATAAAGCTAATGCAGCTGACCCATCCTTGCTTTTTCACTCAATGTAAAGTCAGCATGGGAAAAATGGTGAAAAATGTTTTACTATCTTCAAGAAAATGACTGAATTCCCAAGGAAGTCCAGAGGTCCAAGAGTCATACTTTGAGAATTATAGCAACATAATAGTAAAAGATCGTATGTCATATACCTTCAAAGAGGCTAAGTTCTACCAGATCCTGCACTCCTTTAAAAGAATATTAGAATTAGAACAAAGAGAATAATTATATCAAAAGAAACCAGTTAATATCTTATCTGAGTCCTTACTTGCATACAATTTATGCGCTATTTTAAAATACAGCCTTTAGAACACCCACAAAAAAGCCAATGTACTTCCTTTTTACATTCCTAATCCGGTTCTCTTCAGGAGGAAAAATGCTCATCGTGGTCATTCTCCTCTGCGGAATCTTTTCTGTGGTTAATCAAGCCAAAGACAATTGCTTGTAGTTTCTTTTTCCTTCTAATAACTAAATGCAAATGTTGTAAGGTAGTCACTGGCTGTTTCAGTTATTAGCCCACTGATGTGTAGTCACAATGTGTAATCAAAATAGAGTGAAATGTTGGTAAGAAACAAATTGCAGTCAGTCTCCCTCAATGTGCTCTCCTTATGGCTTCTAAACACACTCTTCCCTTCGTACTTCCCACTCTGTGAAGCAGTGCTGGAAGCCCTCTTTGTTGTCTTTAGGTGGGGTGATCAAAAATACAGTGACTGCTGCTGCTGAGTGTCATCCAGTGGAAAGGCAGGTGGTAAAAGGCTGTCCACATCCACCTTATGCACAGCGCCACACAGTGACTTCTGGCTCTTCTTGGAAGCCAATATGGCCATGAAACGTATTTTGAGGTGATTCAAGATAGCAAGGTGGTTGTGATAGGGCAACTAAAGACATTCATGAAAAAGGACTTCCAGAACTGTTTCAGAAAGAGGCAAGAATGTTGGGATAAGTGCATTTGAAGCAATGGGAAGTATTCTGATGGGAATTAATGATGATGTGCCTTTTGCCGTAATAAGTTTTTTAAACATTTAAGAATTCACTGTATTTTTATACTGTGTATATATTATTAACATACTTTCTTGTGATCAGTCAGAGAAATTATCAGAATCAAGAAGTAGAGTCAGGTGTGGTGAACTCCTGTAATCCCAGCACTTGGGAGGCTGAGATAAGAGGATCAAATTTAAGACCAGCTTGGGCTATAAAGTGAGCTCAAGGCCAGCCTGAGCTGCATAGTGAGACCCTGTCTCAAAAAGACACACACACAAAGAAAGAAAGTTTAAAACAGTGTGACAGTGCATGCTTCTTATCCCTTATTCCTGGAGGCTGAAGCAGGAGGATGGCAAGTTAAAACCCAGCCTAGATAATTCAGTGACTTAAGAAGACGGTTTCTTCTTAAATTTAAAAAAAAAAAAATGAAAAACAGGCAAGTTACGCAGCTCAATACAAAAGCGTTGGGTTCAATCCCCAGAAGTAACGCCCTCCCTCTAACATTGATGGCCAGTGGTTTACACTCACCTGTCTTTCTATTTTCTTTGGGTCCAACCACTTCACCATTGATGCCACCAGTATTTGAAGACAGCGAATTGTCTTCCTGACTAGCTAAATACTGTCTGGTCTTCTCACAAAGCAAAAAATTGTTTTCATTTTCGTTCTCTGGATTTTTCAACCTGAAATTAGGATGATTTTGATGTCCTCCAGTAGTTCTTAAAGAATCGTGTGATGGAGGCTTGACTTCATTTTTTTCAAAATTAAATGGCTCTGTCATTTGACAAGTAGATGCTTCCAAGTTTCTTGACATTATATTAAGTGGTAAGTCTAAGGAAAGAAATATATTTAAGAAGCAACTTAAGATTACAAAAGTAAAACTGCAGGCAGGGAGGTGACTTATTTCAAGTATTTATGTAAAAGGTAATTTCCATAAACTATTCCAAAGTACATTTAACTCTGACATTAAAACCTGGCCTAAAGGCACAAGAGAAAAATTCTCTCTGTATAAGTACAAGCTTCAAGGTTAAAAGAATTCAACAACAAACCAACAAAAGACATTTAAAAAGTAATCTCCGAGTTCCACACTAGTGCTTGCACTTAAGAGCTTGTGAAGCACCAGAAATGAAGAGGTCTTTCATGTTTTAAAAAAGGACTTCCCATTGAAAACCTACATCTTATTGTGAAATAGAAGCTGTTGTTTGACTCAGGCTCTTCTGTGCACACGCCCTCCCTTCCTCCCTGTCCCTGTCCCTCTGCTTTTGCCTTTTCCCCCTGCCATGAACTACTGGCCCTCTGTCATGTGACACCCTGTGTTGGAAAAAAAAAAAAAATCAGGCCATCACTTACCTTTCTACCCTCTCAGAACCATTCTATCTTCTACTTTCATGCTACGCCAAGTCCTTGAAAACACTAAACCTCTACCCACAATGCCTTCACTTTCCTGCCCATCGCTGACAATTCATCTCAGCTGATCCCTATCCTCCATGGTTTTCTCAAACACCATTTTGATAACCTCCAGCTGAATTTCCTTAGTTTACAGCTTGTGCTTATTCCCTTTAATGATCTGCATGCTTTCATGTTTAATTTGTTTCAAAGTGTCCCAAGAAACTTTATTCAGAAACGATGGTAGTTCTTGCAGAATAACAAATTTCCTGTCCTGGGGGAAATCATTTGAACTAGTAACTGATTTTATCTGTAAATTGGAGGCAAAATTTCTACCTATTCTCCCTACTCAAAGGATAAAAAGGTTAATGAGAGCTGAGTAATAAATAATGCATAAATTGTTAACATGGTCTTGAACAAAAAAATAAATTTTTGCTCTTACTCTCACACAACTTCCATCTTATTTCCTGTTTCAGAAATTAGGTATATCCTAATCCAGTAACAATACATAAAAATAAAATTTATAAAGAAACACACAGGCACCCTCAAAGGTGCAGCACTCACGGGCCCAGATCCTGGGAAGATTCCTAACAGAAAATCTCCAGGCTGGCAAGTATGGCAGGACACCCAGCAGCTGCTAAGGAAGTACACCTGTACCAACAGGCCTGCCTCATTTGAAGGAACAGGTTGAGAACCACAATAGTGTGCATAATTGGAGGAGGGGGCGGCTGACATGTCACATTCGAAAAGTAAATAACCTTGACGGTGGTGGTGGTGGGGAGGAACTGAGCACTGAGTAACTCTACCTCTGTACAAGAACTACTTTGCATTACAATACTAGAGTAATTACCAGAATAGAATCATAATGCCTCAATTGAAAACACGGCACACAGACAACATCAAAATGACAAAACCAAGCCCAAGTGAGCCCTGGGTTTGTCTCAATTACAAACATCCAGTCAGATGTATACACAAAATGGACATATAAGATAAAAATTACACAGGTTGAAAATAAAACTAAAACAGATGCTATGCTAATAACCAAAATTAAGGTGAAAACAGCAGATCAAATAGATCTCAAGGTAGAAAATGTTGAGACAAAATATACACACATATACACACACTTTATACGGATAAAAGAAACACACTTAAGGAAAAACAGAAACAGATTAGCAGCCAGAAATCTGAGTCATAATAGTGTCACTTTGATATGAAGGAAGCAAAACTGGATGAGAAATTCAATCTACAATGACAAAGACACACTGGCCTTGAACACAAACTAATAAAACAGGAAACAAGCAGCGATATGGAGTGTTTTTGTAACAATAAAATTGATCTAAGAGGGATCAATACAATATTCACCTTTCCACTGAGCATATACTAAAGAGAACACATTAACTCCAAAAGCGTAAATATCATATAGGCCCTATCCATATTTCAATATTTATATTTACATTTATGTGAAGTTTCAAAGTGGCAAAATATCGAAAAGGTGATGACAGCAAACATGACTACAAAAACAATTAAGACTTTATGAAAATGATTTTAATAGAGCAGAAAGTATCACCCCAAAGATGACAAATTTGATCTTTGCAGGCACAGGATAAATTGCCACCATCTGTGCAGCCAGCAGGCCTGAAAGGGCAACTGGAGATTAAGAAAAATCTAAAAGGAAAGCTGGGATTAGGTGGGACCTGACCTCTCTGTTTGTAGCTTGGCATAACTAACGTCATCTTGTGCCCTGTATTTGACCCACAAGAGTGAAAGACTACTTAGGGTACAAGTCCCAGGAGAAAAGCAGAATGAGCTGCACCCACAAGAGAAAAATAAACCTGCTCAACATAGAAGCAGGATACAGGTGTCAACTAAAAATTAATGTAAGATTCTAGCTAAATTGTTTCCAACAGGATGTCTTTTTGTGGTTTTGTTTTAAAAACTCTAACTTTCCAGTTCAGTGCCACTGGTTTGGACTCTGAAACAGGGGTCCATGGGTGGTAGCAGAGCTCAGCCAATAAAATTCCAAATTTACCAATTTGGCTGCTTGGATTCCTATATTGTTAATGAACCCATTTCATCTCATGGAGAGGCAGAACCACCCAGCATAGTCTATATCTTTATTCATACACAGTTAAAGGGGGGGAATGCATGTCAGAGTCAAAAGTGCAGGTCTCAGTGTTTTGCTAGGAACAGTGAAAGTGAAACATTCTCAGAGGTATCTACGCAGAAGTTAACAGTCAGGATCACCAAGGACAGACACCTGCTGGGCTGGCCCTGCTCTAGTCCCAAAGAGTTTGCCAACCTCCACCTCAGCAGCTCTCCACAACAAATAGTAAAGACATCAGGGTACCATAGCAGAGACTGTGCTTCACTGACCCAAATGCCATGTTTAGCCTCAGACTTGCCAACCATCATTAGTTATAATACTGCCCATAGTCAAAGTTCTTCTGAGTGCAACTCCTAAGAAAGTGCCACCATTTCTTAAGGAAAAGGGTCAGATTTCGCTGGTGGGGTCCTTTAACCCTCTTATAACTCTTGGTGTAAATTTTTTAAAAATTCAAGCTGAAATAATTATCTATTATTTACTTCCTAGAACGGGTAAAATTTAAAATACCTATCATTACTGAGATAAAATTAAGAATGTGTATTTTTTTCTGGGAAACTGTGTGTGTTCCTAAAAGTATTCTCCATTGACTTGGTAACTGCTTCTAAAATTTCATTAAAATAATCCAAACAAAAACATACTGCTTGTACAACTGGATGTATAAATGTTATTTAAAAAGTCAAAGAGGTATGATACTCTACTAGAAAAAGTACTAAACTATCATTTGGAATACTAGCTTCTAAACAAATTATAAAATGTTAAAATGTAAATGAAAAAATCATAAGAAAATTGTATATTCAATATAATTGTAATTGCAAAAATTACATACATGTTAAAATGAACAAAAATTCACTAAATTTTAAATAACATGTATTCTAGAGATGAATGTTCAGGAATTAATTTTCAGTCTTTTTCACAGTACAAATTGTATCTAGGATAAACTGCTTTTATAGAATAAGTTCCTTTTTCTAAAAAACATATTTAATTCTAACCCAAGTAAAGGGACCATAGTAATAGCTAAACCATAACATTACAGTACAGTCACAGGCTTCTCAAAACAGTGACTCTGGAGCCAGCTTTTCATAACTTGTCCTGATATAGGAGGCTGCTAGTTAATCCAGGCAGCTCCTCACACCTTGCATCACTGCGACCTAGAGACAGGTTTGTCTTCTAAATGACTTCAAGATGCTAGAACATGTGAATCATGTCTTACTTTAAAATTTAAAAAACCCTTGTCTTCTCACAGCAACCAGTATGGTGTTTTGTAAAATGAGGCATTCAAAATAAATTTGAAGGATAAAAACTTATGTTTTCATGACAACCTGGAGAGGGAAAATAAAGCTTACTGATGAAAAGGTATAAGCAGTCTTAAACGGAGAGTCAGATTATGTCATATTTACCAAAACTTAAGGGTAACACCTCATGCCTTCCCAACTTCCCAAATTCAAAACTCTGTAAATATATTTGACCTTAATAAAATTAATCTTAAACTCACTGTGAAACAGCCTTAGAGCAGAAAATAAATAGAATTTAAGCTTAAAAGAACATCCACCTGTGGTGGACTGGTTTAAATTGAAACGTACTTTACTGCCTCAATGTATTTAGAAACTTCCATTATGATGTCCATGCAAACACATATTCAGACTTATTTTAAAACTAAATGCTGCTAACTTTATTTGGGGACAGCTAATGGACTGTGTGTGTGTGTGTGTGTGTGTGTGTGTGTGTGTATGAACCAACTGAACCTGTTGCTGCCTGTGACCACTTTTCAATTATGAGACACCAGGGTATTCTCTTTCCTTCAGGTCTTTCACCTAGTGATACAATGCCTTCTAAATCTTGCGCAATTCTAGACTTTAGTCAGTCAGAGACCCTCCACATATATCACTCAAAAGTGAGGGCAAAATTTGAGATGTGGCCTCATGGCCAGTAAACAGTAAAGTCACTGTTCTCTATTCCTAACTTCAAACTGGCTTTTAAAGAAAGCAGCAAGCTTGCTGTGAGTTCAAGTAAAATTCTCTGTCTCCTAACATCTTCTGAAACTTAATTTTTTAATTCATCAGACCACTAACCTGACACTTTTTATTTACAGTTCTATAATTTTTTAAAGTGGTATTTGGCTCATGCTTGCTAGGCAAGCAATTTACCTCTGAGCTACATTCCCGGTTTGTTTTTTGAACCAGTGTCTCACTACATTGTTCAGTCTGGTGTCTAACTTGTAATCCTCCTGACTCAGCCTTCCCCAAGTAGCTGCAATTAGGTGTGTGCCACTAAGCTCAGCTGAGTTCTATGAATTTTAACACATACATAGATTTATGTGTAAGCTCCACAAACACGACACAAAGAGGCTTTTAAGTTCAAATTGTAACATTTAAAAGCATTTGTAAGACTTCACATATATCGCATGTACCGTGTATGTACTTAACATTACCCTATGTTAACCACCTAGCATACTTAGATCTCAAGTGGGACCCCCTGTGGAATACTATCTTCCCACCACAGGCTGCAGACTTTTGAAACCCATAGAGAGATACGTATGGCGGGGTGCCAGTTATTGCTACAAGAGTTACAAGCTAACAGCAGTTTTAAATAAAGCAATTCCTTTCATACATGATCCAATATTTTTATATCTACTAGTGATTAATAATACTGTATTTTATCATTTCAGAATCCTTATCTAAGGAAGAGGCTGGTTTGAATGGTCTCCAAAGTTCTTTGTTAAAAGGACCCTTATGTTCTCATGATTTGGAATCACTAATTTCTCTGGTACTACTGATAAAAATGAGGCGTAGAAGAGATAAGAACTCAAGCAATTTAGCCAGACTTCATCTCAAAGTAAAATTTATAAGGACTGGGGACGTAGTTCAGCAATGAAGCACTTGCCGGGCTCAGGTGAGACTCTCATTCAAACATTGGTATAGAAAAAAAAAATCTCCAAAGCCCAGCCCCTCCTCTCCACCTCAGTACTAGGGATCCAACCCAGGGCCTTGAGCATGACTGAGCATGCTATCTCCTGCCCCTTATTTTTACACACACTCATGCAAAAAAAAAAAAAAAAAAAGTTTTCCTCTGACAAGGAACTACTGTGCATATTTAAAATGCATATACTTTAAGTATTACAGTATTTATTTATTCCCCAGAATGAAGGAAATTGGGAAACTGAATAACTTGTTAACCCCAACCCCACTCCACCCCCACTTTTCTCAGCTGAGAAGAAAATCCAGGTCAGATCCCCTAGCTGTGCAATTCTGCAATACCCTGGTATCCCACCAAGGGAACTAAAAGCACGTGCTCTAACTGCAGAGGCATCACAGGGCAAACATAGCAGGGGTCACCGAAAAGCCAACTCAAAAGCACACAGCAGGCACACAGCAGACACACCTCAAAACACTCCTTAAGTGACCCAGCGCCCACTCATGTCTAAGTGAACTCAGCTGTGCACCTTCCTCACCTCCCTTAGGTGGTATTAAGAGGAAAGGCGTTAATATTGCTTCCACTCTAGCTGAGCTGCTGAGTTACACGAAAGCACTGAACCCACAAACAAGTAGTGCTATTTCCAAACCCACTGCAGGGGCCCTGCTTGCCTACACCCCTCTTACTCCATCTTTCCCCCCTCCAACCAATACAGAATCCATCCATCCTAAAACTCCCTGTCCTAGACCTGTCCTCTCCAGCCTGCGCTCCAAGGTCTCCTCGGCCGGTCCATCTTTTCTCCACTTCCTGGCTTCGCAAGCGTTCAGGGCCCAACTTCAACGCCCACTCTCAACGTCCAGGGCCCAACGCCCGGCAGCCAACGCCCGAGGCCTCTGAGCCCTCAGGGTACCCCCTCCCTGCTCCGATGCTGGGGACCCAGACCTGGAAAGAGGTGGAAGTGCCGCAGGCCCCACCAGTCTCCGAAGGCTAGTGGTGGCAGCGACTGTCAGGACCAGGAGCCCGGCGATCCAGGTTCCCTCCCGACCTCTTGCCTCTCTTGCTTCGCTTCAAATGCCCATCTGGGCCTGTAGGGTCCCGCGCTGCGCCTGCGCAGTCTGCGCCCACGTGAGCCCTCGCCGTCCCAGCCCTCAGGGAGACTTGCAGCGCGCTTGCGCGGGACGGGTGGCATAGGCAGGGAAACTGTGTTCGCTTCTCTTGTAGTCAGTGGGAGCTCCGTGGGCACGTTTTGAATGCAAAGACGCCGTCTTTGCTTTGTAAAAGTAATCTGAGTCGCTTGAGCCACTTAAAAGTCTTTCAGGGCTTTCCCAAAGTCATCCACTGTTTCTGCTGGTTCTGGAAACTAAAGTTTATATTCACTCAGAAATTATCCAGGTCCACACCCTCACCCCCACTTTGTATCTTTTCTGAGGTGGGATCCCATCCAGGCTCCCACCTTCCATTTTCTTAGCATGTCTCTCTCCTCAGGCTCATGTTGGAAGCACTAGTTTCTCAGGTTTTCCTTGTTTGCTGGCCAGACAGTTCCCAGGAGTACCCCTCGGGTTTTTTTTTTTTTTTTTGTTGTTGTTGTTGTTGTTTTTTTTTTTTTTTTTTTTTTTTTCCTTTTTGAGGTAGGGTTTCACTACACTGTTCAGGCTGGACTTGAACTCACCTGGTAGCCCAGGTGGGCCTCGAACTTGGAATGACCCTCTTGCCTCAGCCTCTCGAGTGCTGAGATTATCAGTGTGCATCACCCCAACCGGCCTGGTTAGGCTTTTTGTGGGATGCTCCATTATTGAAACTTGCCTAATGGCGTACTAACGTAGGAATAGAGTTATGCGGTATTGGAAAGAGGAGGTAAAGTGCCATTTTTGTTGTATGCCAAACGTACAACCTATGCACTTGTTTTATGACGATGTTGGACCTGGTCATCTTGCTGAGGTATTAATTGCTAGAAATGATTCCTGTAGTTACCTCCCTTTCATAGCAAATACTTTGGAAGGAAGCCATTATGTGAAGCCCACATCTGAGTAGGGTGCATAGACACGTCCTAGGATATAGTATACATTTCTTGCTCCAAACTTGCAATCAGATCTCCTAACTTTTCAGTCCAGATAACTGTAGGTGGAAAATGATAGATATAGTCAGGAGAGAAGGGGGTGCCTCAGGTGGTCATCATAGGCCTTTTAATGGGTAGAATGATTGCTTGCCTCTCCCCATGCTGGAAATCAAGCCTGAGTTCTTATAACGTTAAGGCAAGAACTCTACCATCGAGCTACACCCCCAGCCCTGAGCCTCTTAATTAAAAAAAGTACCATGAGCTTATTCTGATATTTATAAATTCAGATACAGGATGGTAGTACCTTTACTTTTTCAGTTTTATGTTTTCTTTTTTTTTTTTATAGTGGAAAACTTGGTTCCCAAAGACATTTATATGCTTAATGTCAATTGTAAACTGAGAAATGTTTCTGAAATAATATTCATTACTGGCAAATGAGTAGTGAAACTAAAAGAAAGTAAAGTTTATCACTTTTTGTCCTTGTAGTAATATACCTCATTAGGAATGTTTGGTTGTTATCTTAAAGCCAAATCATTTCTTTACTGTCACAAACAGTCTAATTTCTAAAGTGCGTTTTTTAACACAGCATCTTCATCTGAGGTGGGAGATGCCAATTCTTAAAGAGAACAAAAGAATTAGAGGGCGTTGTGGTTTTTTCCCCCTAGCAATTAATATGAAAAGAAATGCACAGAACAAGTACTATTTTACTTCACAAACTTTTGACGCATCCTAATTATTTCCACTCCGAAGCTCTAAGAGGTCGCAAACTAAACAACGTCGCTTCACTGGTCGAAAACTTGCAGTCTCCACAGGCAGCAGCTGCTCGCCTTCGTTCTGCGGGCTGATCCTGGCAACGCTATTTAGCACCCCTCTTAGGGCCTTGCAAAGTGCTGGGATCCCCAGCCCGGAGACCTTCGTAGGAGATGAGGCGACAGCAGTTTATTAGTAAACAATGGCACTTGCTGCCTGAGGACCCGTGGAGATGAACTGTGGAAGGGACAGTAGGCAGGCTGCACCTGCTGACTCCGCCCACCTCCACCAGGTGAGACTTCTGCGCCTCAGTGCCGGAAAGCTGGTTTCGAATTGTTTTATTATTTTATGCCCTTGACTCACAAGAGGGTGGACCAACGGGTGAGGAAGCAATCTATCCAGTGGGCGCGCCCTACTGAAAGAAACCAGCCACTTGGATCGGGAGAGGCGTAAGCGGCCGGACTGGACTGGGGACAGAGCTGGCGCACCAGGTCGCGGGGGCGGTGGCGCCCAGCTAGGCGTAGCGCCAGCCGATTCTCCCCGAGGCTGGGAAGCCTGAGGCCGCCAGACGCTGGCCCCGCCCACTGCGGACAGGTTACCCAGGTGCGTTGCGTCACGCCTTCTGCACCGCGATGATTGGTTTACCCAGGAAATCCCGCCCCCTCAGCTGTAGCCGGGCCGCCTTCGGCGGCGCCGCCATCTTTGTTGATGTGTCAGCTCAGAGGGGGTTTTGGCGAGAGGCGTCGGTGGAGAGAGCCAGGGAATTGTCTGTATCCTCGCCGCTGTCTTTTCCGCCCACTCGTGGTCTGGCGGTCCCCGCCAAGGAGAAGTTGACCCTCTAGCCAGTGTGCCAGAGGTCCCGTTAAGGTGCGGCCTGAGGCTTGGAGAAGTGCGGTGAGTGCCTTCGGGGCCCCCACCGCGGACTAGCGAGGCGTGGCGGCTGGGCTGGGACCTCTCGCGCCGCTCGGCTGCCCCAGGGCGGGGACGAGCTTCCTGCCTGCGTCCCCTCCGGGTTCTCTCGGTGAGGGGGGAGGGGGGCTTAGCACAAACGCTGGGGAACGAGCTCTGGAGCCCCTTCGTCCCCGCGCGTCTCGCCTACGGCCGCGGCGCGGGGCCTCGGGGCTGTGTCTCGAGAGCTGAGCTTAGCGACCGCGTTTGGGCCGATTGCCTGGGCTGCAGCTGGGCATCGCTGCTCAGCTCCGCCTGCACGGGGACATTCGATAGACTCGGTCACCTATTTCACTTTTTGTTTCGAAGTTGACTCTGTTTAATGCTGTGGCGACTTTTTAATCTCCTTCCAAACACTTTCATGATGTGCTCTTAGGTTGGAAATGATTCTTTAGGGTCTGGATAAGAGCGGTACTATTCTGTTTTTGTTACTTTTTTTTTTTAAACGAGAACATCGAGGCATTTCATAAACCTTCGTGGTAAAGAAGGAATTTCAAATTGTATCTCCATCAATTGTGTGAATGATTCCCAAGTAGCGTTCCTGGGGGAGCAGTGCAGGTGTAATTATCGCTCAGCTGTTAACAGTTTAAGCAACTTCAGCGAGTAATCGCATCTTTATTTCCTTAGGATGCTTGTGAGATCTCAGAGTCTTCTTTGACTGATAGAAGAGTACAGTAGAAATGTTGCAAGGGACCAGGTCCTTCGCAGTTTTCCTGCGTGTGAGTGATGTTCCTTTGACGCCCAGCATTTTTATTTCTTCCCAAATGATAAGGCAGGGTGCTTTTCTAAGGGAAATGTGTAGTCCGTCAGTGGAACAGTGTCTCAAGAGAGGTGCTGGTGGTCATTACAAGAAAATTTAATCTGCTATAAATGTTTAGGTATGTTAGCTGTGAGTGTGGCTTTCTCAATTATTAATTCCCAATTATTATTTGCAATGTTGAGCTTGTGGGAAAGATGAAGGTTGAATGGACATTGATAATAAAACTGAAGTATTTTTGTGCTTAAAGTGTGCTCTTCACTATGCAGCTCCGCACATTTTAGTTTTTAATTCATTACCCAGACTAAAAAACAGTAATGATTGACCCGTTTTTTTCTTTTTATGTTATCTGAAATTCAGTGAAATATCAAGTAGTTCTTAAATGTTGTATTATTAAAATCCCCCCTCGTTAGACTTAATGCCTGTTGCTGTAATCACTTGAGTGTAATCACAGTTTGCTTCTTCCTTGTCACTCTCACTCTGCTGGGGATTGAACCCAGGACTTTCCTCAAGCAAGTGCTCCCACTCTTAACTAAAAATCCATTTTATAGCATCATAGGTTTAATTAGTGAAGAATCTCCCAGAAGATACTTGGGTTATGTATTTTTTTCATTTAATTCAGATAACTGCGTGTAGATTTAAGACTTCTTTTAAACAGAGATTCCATAGATGTCATTTGCATTTCAGAATATTTATTTTCAGGTAATTAAGTAGAGTGGCACGCGGCACAGTGATCACTCTTGAATCTTTTAGTTCCTTCATAAAAAGCAGTCCTTTGATGCTGTACGGTGACAACATAGCTGATTATAATTTAGTATATTCATTTTGTAACCATGCATTTATAGCTACATGCCGACATTGTCAACAATGCAGTATATTCAGCTCTTTAAGCATGAAAATGGCCATAGTTAGAAATTGCGAAAACCATTTTTCCCTTTGTAAGATGGTAAGTAATGTATGTCCTAGCTTCCCAAAGTCATCTAACAGTTTCAAATTAAAAACTCCTTAACATGAAGTTCTGGGTTTTTCTTTCAATAAAACTTTTTTGAGACCGGCCTTTTGAGACAGTGTTGGTGTATTCTAGGCTGGCCTTGAACTTCACAGTGCTCCTCCTGTGTCAGCCTTTTGAGCACTGGGATTATAGGCATGCCCTGAAATGCCCTGCTCTTTTATTTTGTCTTTTAAGTAAAGCCAATTTTAATGTCTTCTAGACGTCAGTAGGCTTACTATATTATGAATGTTGTATTTAGTATTCATTTTAGGGGCAGCAGTGAGGTCAAAATATTTAAAAAATCTACAAACCATCTTCTTTTTTAAATACTTCTTTGAATTTTCTCAACTACTGATGTTAAGACTTTTGAGATAAAAAGTAAGCCAAAAAAAGTGGAATAAAGGGGTAATAGGATGTCAGACGGCATTTGTCTGTTATTAAAACAGTTCATCCATAAAGCATCTACTATATCATTACATAGTAGGTACTAATGAATAATTTAACTTTTTTTGAAACTCTCACATCAGGTTAACCAAACCTAGGTTAAAAATGGCTTCAAATTATGAATATTAGCCAAAACTCTTTAGTGTAAAACAAACTTAAAACTTTTTTTTTTTCATTTTATCTTTTATCTTTTCATTTTATCCTTCTTTTAGTTTCCAGATTTAGAAGAAAATTACTGAAAATACTTTCGGTATTTTCTTAAGTTCATTAAAGTGCAAGTGAGAACTTTACATATATCTTCAACTTAAAATCCTATAGTAATAACTCTGTCATAATATTTTAAAAAGTTATTAGAGATATGTAAAATTGCATGGTCTAGTATACCAATCCAGTAATATGACATAAATGGTATAACTTTATAATGATATATATGGCTTTTGTTTTTCCTGGACTCTTGATGACCCTTAATTTCTTTTTTCTGTTGTCACAGGAATTAGTAGCTGTTCCAAGTTCCTAAGCATCTATCGTGCTGAGCCTTTTAAAAATTCCTCTCTGTGTGTATGAAATATAATGCATATACTATAAAATCCACCCTGACCTGAGTCTTACATGCAAAGCTAAAAAACCCTCACAGGGACTTTGGCCTTGCATAACACTTCTTAGAGCACTAAACTGAAGACAACTTTTAAAATGCCCTTTGCACACAAAGGAAATGCAGTAAGTTAAAGTTAAAATTTACCCCAAAGCTTAAAGTGTGACTACTGTACTTTAAAAGTTATTTCTTCCTGTTACAGATCTAGAGTTCTTTGAAATAGCTCAGTTTTTATCTTTTAAAAGTTGAATTCGATTGGTCTAAATTCACCATATATGAAATTTCTGTGTCAGGTATTTTCATCATGAGAAACAAGAAATTTGTGTTCTATAGGTTCTTTTTTTTTTGTTATAGTTTATTTTAAAAATCTTTATCCAAAAATGTTTTTTAAATTATAAAACTAAGTTATTTGGAGGTTCTGAGCAGATGATACTAGATAGGATGATTTTTTAAAATTTGGTTTTTGCTTCTGGCTTTTTCTCCCTAACATGCCCAGCCCTTTTTATTTATATTTTTAAATTTTGAGACAAAAGTCTTACTAAGCTACCCAAGCTGGGCTTGAATTGTGATATTCCTACCTCAGCTTCCCTAAGTGTTCAGGCTGCAGGTGTGAGCTGCTGAGCTACTTGCTTCTGACTCTAATTGCCATATCAGAATCTTATTAGAAGCTGAGTGTGGTGGCACATGCCTGTAATCCCAGCAATCTGGAGGCTGAGGCAGAATGATTGCCCTGAGTTCAAGGCCAGCCTGCCTACATAGTGAGTTCAAGACAAGCCTGAACTACATAGTGGGACCCTGTCTTAAAAGCACAAAATAAAACTCAAAAAGAATCTTATTAGAGTTATTCTTTTGTGTATGCTGCTTTCAAAATGTATCTGGGCCTTGAACAACTATTTGTAAAACGACAACATCAAGTAATGATTTCTTACTCTTTTTTTTTTTCTCTGAATGTATGTACTATTTCTACCTATTTTCTGTTTTGTTTAATCTTTAAATAAAAAAAAAACTTTAAAAAAAACCAAAATGTATCTGGGGAATGTGTAAAAATCCTTTTGATGTGCTGCTTTTCCTAGGAGGACACTAAACCTTTATTTTGGAGAACAAGAGTGATCTCACAGGCTCAGTTTGCTTAGCATAATGCATGTTATTTGAGAAATATATAGTTGTGTTATTTGGGGGACCTGAATGATACAGTTTAGAATTTAAAATCTGTGGTTTGTTGTGTAAAATATTATGTTGAACTAACTAAGGTTTTTCTACTGGACTTAAAAACACTAGACCCCCAAACAAAAAAACAAAACAAAAAATGAAAAAGAAAAGAAGGGGCTGGAGACATAGCTCTGTGGCCTGGCAAGCATGAGGCCCTGAGTTAAATTTTTGGTTACGCCTCCAAATAAAAAAAAAAAAAAAAAAAAAAAAAAAACTCCACCTGTTTTTTTTTTCCCTATATAGTCTCTCATGGAACACTATCAGATATTAAACTAATATAATGTTAAAATATATGCTCTGTGACCTATAGTGTTTTAGTATTTATTGGCAGCAAAACATGACCAATAATAT